GTTGTTGTTTTTTCGAGACAGGGTATCTCTGTGTAGTAGCCCTAACTGTCCTGTAACTCAAAGATTCACCTGCCTCGGCCTCCCAAGTTCTGGGATTAAAGGTGTGTGCCACCACTGCCTGGCCTCATATTTAAAAATTTTAAGGGAAAATATTTATAAAGTTGATTGCATCCAAAGGCAGATGTGGAGTATTATATATAAAACACAAAACCACCAGGTGTTGGTGGTACACGCCTTTAATCCCAGCACTCGAGAGGCAAGGCAGGCGGATTTCTGTGAGTTTGAGGTCAGCCTGGTCTACAGAGTGAGTTCCAGGACAACCTTCAAAGCTACAGAGAAACCCTGTCTCAAAAAACAAAAACAAAAATAACCTACCAGGTTTGTGGCTCATACCTGTAATTCCAGCTCATGGGAAGCAGAGGCAGTAGAAATACTGGTAGCTAAGGCAAGACAAGTCTCAGAAAAGAATAGAAAATAGCCAGACCTGGTGGCTCATGCCTTGTGATCCTATTGCTTACTGGACTGAGAGAGGAGGATTGCTGGGAGGTTGAGGTTGAGGTCAGCCTGGGCTACATTGTTGCAGGATAGACTAAACTGCAAATGAGATCCTGTCTGAAAGGAAAACAAAACAAATACAAAAACTGTCACTGTAAAAAACATTTGTTGCAATCATAACAGAATAATCTTATTACCTAAATATTTGAAGGTGTTCTATCAGTACATGAATGACAGCTAGTAGAAAGACAGAAATAATTCCTCAGCAAATCCTACCGGTGTGCACCACCACAACTGGCCACAGTAATAATTCTTATGAAGAACAATTGTATAGCTTTTATCTTGTTGGTTGGTTTGAGTTTTCTCTTTAGCTGAGGGAGGGCGTTACACTCCTAATTTTTCTTCCTCCACCTCTTGAGTGCTGAGATTACAGTCATACACTATTAGGTCCAGCCTTTTAATGACATAGGTTTACATTTTTTAACATTCATGTTGTGTGTGTGTACATGTAGAAGTTAGTATAATTTGCAACAATCTGTTCTTTCCTTCTACCGTTTTCTTCCTGGAATAGAGCTCAGCTGGTCAAGATTGGTTGTATGTACTGTTACTTGCTGAATCACCTTGCAGGTTTATCCTTTGTATTGTGTTGAAGTTTTATTCCTTTATTTAGAGACAAAAGAACTTACATTTTAGCCCATTTTGACCTGAAAGTCACTATGTAGCAAATGCTGGTGTTGAAATTTTATCAGTCCTCCCACCTCAGCTCTTCAGTGCTGAGATCCTTTGCATTTTTCCTTCACCGTTGTTGTTATGCATAATGAGTTATTTTTATTTAAAATAATGTGTTTGTGTAGATGTCTCTGTGGCACATGTATGTGAATGCTGTACCCAAAAAGGCCAGAAGATGTCTAATTCCCTGAAAAATGATAGACAGGTGCTAGTTATATAAGCAAGTACATATAAATATGCTACATATCATCATATATTCTGTGTGAGCAATGAAGTATAATAAATAGAGAGGGAGAAATCAACAGTGATTTTCTTTTTAAACCTGGACAGTTGAAGTATAGACATATATTGAGATGGAGGATAACATTTTCTGGGTGGGGTGGGAATATTCAGCAGTTAGCTTTTTAAATAGATTAAGTTTGGATACTTTTCAGCATCCAAATAGAGCTATAAGGAGACAGCTGACCATGTGAATTTTCTTAGTTTGTTTTCTATTGACATGATAAAGGCCATGGCCAAGATCAACTTGAGGAAAAAGGGGGTTATTTCAGCTTACATGCCCAGTCACAGTCCATCGTGAAGGGGAGTCAGTACAGGAGCCGAAGGCAAGAACCTGGAGACATTAACTGAAGCAGAGACCATGGAGGAATGCTGCTTATTGGCTTGTTCTCCTCGGCTTTCTTAGTCTGCTTTTTCGTACAAGCCAGTCCCCCAGTGGGTTGGATGCTTCGGCAGGCATTTGTAATTAATCAAGAAAGTGCTCTAGAGGCTTGCTGACAGGTCAGTCTTACGGAGATATTTTCTCAATTGAGATTCCTTTTCTCAGATGACTCAAAATTGTGTCATGCTTACAAACTAAGCAAGACATGAGTCTAAGTTCAGCAGTTTAATCCAGAGAAATATCAGACTCTTCAGTGTATTTAAAGGCATGAGGCTGAGATCAGTTTATCTAGTAAGGAAAGCTATTCCACACTATTTCCTTAAGCATTGCTAAGATTCCTGAGGAAAATGCAAGCAGCAGAGGTGAAAGAAGTCAGTCAATATAGGAATTGGGGGAGTGGAGAGGTGGCTGAGTGGTAAGAGCTGGCTGCTCTTCAGTACCAGGTTTGATTCCCAGCACCCATTTGGTGGTTCACAACTACCTGTAACTCCAGTTCTAGGGATCTGGCACCCTCTGCTGGCTTCTGCAGGCACCACACATGTACATTGTACATAGACACACATGCTGGCAAAACTTTTACTCAGACATGACAAATAAATATTACATTTATAAAAAAGGGATTGTAAATATTGCAATTCAGAGAAAAGTAACTAAGAATGAGGGAAACACAAATTATTGTACAGATGGGGATATAGTGTTTTTTTGTTTTTGTTTTTTTGGCATGGATTTCCTTACTGGAGTGTGTGATAAGTGTCTGCTGAGGACTGAGAAATGAGAAAAAGAGATTAAGGGGTGCGATCAGGCTTTTTATTGGTTTCAGTTTTTTGAGATAAGGTCTCATAGTATAGCCTTGGCTGTCCTGGAACTCATTCTGTAGACCAAGGATGACCTTGAACTCACAAAGATCCACCTGTCTCTGCCTCCCGAGTGCTGGGATGAAAGGTGTGCACCACCACACCTGCATATCAGGCTTTGGAGGTTTGAGGATATACATATTCTGAAGAAGGATAGTAAGGGAGGTATCTACTTATTCAGTTCTTAAATGTTGCTTTCTAGTTTTCCCCGTTATCATTTTAGTACTGCCTTTCTTTTCACTTCCTTCCTGGGTGATATACTTTTTGATTATATTACTATCTTCTAAGTGAGACACGAAAGCTTACTAATTATAATTTAGAATATGATTAACTGTTTTTGTTTGAGAGATGTGCGTTTGGTTTTGTTTGAATTTTGAAACTACTTTGCTAAGTTAGCTTGTTATTTTAAAGTGTTAAGGCCACTTGAAGTCACTGCACCAATCTTGCTTTTACTATGTGTCACTGTAGCTGGGGTGGGGATGGTGTTCAGCAGTGGAACACTGGCTTAGAACATGTGATGCTTTTGTTTTGATCAAAGCATCTCAAAACAACCACAGCAAGCAAACAAAACACACTAGTTAGATACTTTCTTTAAAGGCTCCAAATAGGGCTGGAGAGATGGCTCCGCTGCTAAAGGATAGTCTCCCAACAACCATAGGAAAGACCCCAAATCTGTCCAATTGGCATTCTAAAAACATGAACCTCAGCTGCTTCCGCTTTGGTTTTTTTTATATAAGACCCTCACATGAGTGGGTCCATCAGCATCTCATCATGGACTGAGAGAGGGACTCATGATTGTTGGAGGAGGGAGAGCTGTGGCATGACCCTAGTAGGGTGCCCATCGCCTATAAATAAATAACCTCTCACCTATAATGAAACTCATTGGATCACTAAAAAAAGAGTCATGAAATAAAGTAGGTAAATGGGAGTTCAGTAAGACAAGAGGGTAGTGAAGGACAGCTGAATGTGTTCAAATACATTATATGCATATAAGAAAATGTCATACCAGAAATCATTACGTATAATTAGTATATGCTAATAATACCATAATTTTTATTATAAATATAACTGAGTACTTTATGTTCACATTATACTTCATACATTTTTATATAATAATTTTTTATTTAACTTTTTACACGTTACTCCCTCTACCAGCCCCCCCCCCCACTCTCCCATCCCCGCAACTCTGCACCTTACTCCATCTCCCCTCTGCTCCCCAGGGAGGGTAAGGCCTTCCATGAGGGATTTTCAGAGTTTGTCATATCATCCCAGACTAGGTCTGGGTCCTCCCCTACGTGTCCAGGCTGAGAGAGCATCCCTCCATGTGGAATGGGCTCGCAGAGTCCATTTGTATACCAGGAATAAATACTGATCGACTTTCCAAGGTCCCATAAATTGCAAAGGCCTTCTCTCTGACACCCAGGTTTGGGGGGTGGGTTTGAATCAGTCCCGTGCTGGCCTGACTTCATACGTTTTTGTATTCATGTGTAATAAAGGTCTGTTTGGTTTTGTGTGTTGTAATTTTTCATTGGACAACAAGTGCACAACTTAGAATGGATTTGAGGCAAACTTGCCATAAACAGATTTTTTTTTTCCCTCCTGAGACAGGGTTTCTGTATGTAGTCCTGGCTGTTCTGGAACTTACCATGTAGATCAGGCTGGCCTCTGTCTCCTAAGTACTGGAATTACAAGTGTATACCAACCACTACTGCCCAGCTAGGTTTTGTTTGTTTGTTTGTTTTTGTGACTGTGTTTAAAAAGCAAGTAACAAAAGAAAATGTTTCTGGTACAATAGCAACATCACAAAAAATGTTTTAAAGTACTTGGATAAAACACATTTTTTATGATGCTGAAACTTTTATTGTTAAGTAGACATACTATTTTATAAATTTCCTATAAAATGCAAATGAGATTATTAAATAGAATTGACTATATTCATTTCAACAAGAAGGTTAAAATGTATTTTCAATTAAGACTTCTTGGTTTTGTTGTTTGTTTTGTTTCTTTGTTTTTTTTTTTGTTTTTTTTTTTGCGGGGGGAGGGTGGGAGGACAGAGTTTCTGTGTGTATCTCTGTATGTCCTGGAACTCAGATCTGCCTGCCTCCCCCTCCCAGGTGCTGGGATTAAAAGTGTACATCACTGCCCCAGGTACAGTGCGTATCTAATTGCAAATTAGCAGAAGGGTAGGACCATTGGTGTATATATACAAAAGTCAACTTGATACTGCAGAGCGTTGACTTTCTATTTTACTATCCTTACAGGTAACGTTTCGCTTGTTGCATTTCCAGTTTCCAGCACCAACTCACCAACAAAGATTTTACCGAAAACCTTAGGGCCAATAAATGTGAATGTTGGACCCCAAATGGTAAGAAAACTATTAAATCTTATTATTGATACTTTGCTTAGGCAAGACTAATTTATAGAATAATTATGCTGATGATGTTTGGCAAAAATATTCCCTTTAATTTTAGTTATTGCATTTATTCTAAGTACGTTTTATTTTTATCTGAGTATAATTGGTTAAATATTAATAAAAGTTTTTGTGCTCTTACTGCTTAGTTTTAACATATTTCAGTCTATGGGTTTTTGCTCCCTTTATGAGGCTTCTCTTGTTGTTTAATTAACTTGAAACCTATTATAGTCTGTCTTCTGTTTTCATTTAAATAACCTTTGTGGAAGCCATGTGTTCATGTGTAAATTGAATATGTAACTGAATTTATAGGTGCACACTTCTGTAATTAAGTTGAATTTATAGCTTGAGCTATAGATTTGAATTTTTTCTATTAAAAGATTATTTTAGATCCACTCATGCTTGAACTTGCATTGGGGGCAGAGGCAGGAGGATCACCACAAGTTCCAGGATAATCTGTCCACCTAGTAAGTTTCAAGTAATCCAGGGAACTGCAGAGTGCAACCCTGTCTGGAAGAGAGGGACATGGCAAGAGGGGAGGGAGTAGATGGAGATGAAGGGTGGGGGTAAGTAGCTGGGGAAACAACAGTATGCTATTTTAATTCTTTTTTGTTTGTTTTTGTTTTGGTTTTTTTTTCAAGACAGGGTTTCTCTATGGCTTTGGAGGCTGTCCTGAAACTAGCTCTTATAGACCACTCTGGTCTCGAACTCACAGTGATACGCCTGCCTCTGCTTCCCAAGTATTGGGATTAAAGGCATGCGCCGTCACCACCCATTGCCATTTTAATTCTTATCCCTAAAAATAGTGGATGAAAAATAAATGTGTGTTTTTCTAAAGGCATTCATTAATTTTGCTAGACCTTGAAATATTTAGCACTCTCAGAATACCTTGTTCATAATCACATCTGCTTTAAATTATTCTTTCCAGGTTTGGTGGTTTCTACCTATAAGCCCTGCACTCAGTAAACTGAGGCAGGAGAATCTCCTGAGGCAGGAGAGATGGTTCAGCAGTTAAGAACACTATCTGCTCTTGCAAAGGGACCATGGTTTGATTCTCAGCATCTATATAAGGCTCACACTGTCTATAATAGTTTCAGGAGATCCAACAACCTCTTCTGGCCTCCATAGTAACAGGCATGTAAGTGGTACACAAACATACATGCAGGAAAATACCCATTAAATATAAAATGCCTACTGTTTAAAAAAAAGCTTACACCTAATTTTAAACTTTAACATTTTTATTTTAAATTATTTATTTACACCAGGCAGTGGTAGTGCATGCCTTTAATCCCAGCACTCAGGAGACCGAAGCAGATGGATGTCTGTGAGTTCAAGGCTAGCCTGGTCTACAGAGTGAGTTCTAGTATAAACAGGGATACACAGAGAAGCCCTGTCTCAAAAACAAAACAAGTTATCTATTTACTTGTGTGTATACATGTGTACATGTGCACTTAAACACGAGACACCACACAGAGCATGTGTAGAGGTCGGATATGGCTGGCAGGAGCAGCTTCTCCCCTCTGTTTATATAGTTTGCCTTGATCAACACTCAGGTTGTCAGGCTTCATGACAAGTGCCTTTACCCACTGAATCATCTCAAAGGACTATATTTAAGTATTAAAAAATAAGACTTCATTACCAGGTATATCTTTTTATAGAAAGTACCAATAAATTTTGTCTGTAACATAGATCACTCTGTGGACCGTGTTGAATTAAAGTTTAGATAGAATTATCTCTGAACATTCTTGCTGACTTCAGGAAGTCTTTAAAGGGTGCTGTAAGCATGAATTTCCATTGGTTAGTTGAAGACAGTCATCGGAGGGAGGGGGATATTGTTTATTCCCTGTAGCCTGCCTGCTATTATAGCCAGAACTCTCTGTTTCCTATATCACAGTGAACAGTAAATTTGCTTTTTAGAATTAATTAGTGTGAATTCTTGTTATATAGCCTGAAGGACTAACACCCAGTTTCTGTCATTCCTTGGTGCTCCCTTACTTCATTACTAAGTAGCCAAAGCTGGCCTTGAACTTGGAATCCTCTTGCCTTAGTCTCTCAAGTGTTTTACAGGCTTCTTCTGTTTTTTTGGATGCTTTTGTCACTTACTTTTTTATTTTAATTGATCAATTCATTTGAATTGGAGAGCTGGAGCAATGGCTCAGTGGTTTAGAGCACTTCGGCTGCTCTTTCAGAGGAATGGAGTTCAGTTCCTAGTATCTGCATGGCAGTGTTCAACCATAGTTCCAGGGGATCTGAAGTCCTCTTCTGGCTTCCACGGGCACCAGGAATACAAGTGGTACACAGCCATACATTCAATGAAGTTATCAATATATAAATTGTAGTTTTTGAGACAGGGTCTCATTATGTAGCCCTGACTAGTCTGGATCTCAGACCAGGCTTCCCGCAAACTTTCAGAGTTTTACCTGGGATTAAATACATGTTCCACATACCTGGCTGGTTATTGTCACTCTTTTTTTTTTTTTGCATTTATTTGCTTATTTATTCTCTCTCTCTCTCTCTCTCTCTCTCTCTCTCTCTCTCTCTCTCTCTCTCTCTCTCTCTCTCTCTCTCTCTCTCTCTCCCCCCACATACACCCGTGTCTGTGTGTGTGTCTGTGTGTGTGCATGTGTGCGTGCACACACACTTGTACATGTAGAGACGAGAGTAGCGTGCAGGAGTCAGCTCTCTCCTCTTCCCATGTGATTCCAGGGATTGAATTCTGGTGATCAGGCTTGGCAATAAGCACCCTTACCTGCTGAGCCATAACCATAATTTGTAGCTATTCTCGTCACTTTTAATCATCGTCTAGTCTAGGGGTGTACTACAGAGCAGTGATAGGATACTTAATTCAAATGTGCTAGTCTTGTTTTTAGTCCCTAGAACTGGCAGGCGCCCGGCCCCCCATGCACGAGAGAAGAAAACCAAATTAAAAAAAAAACAACAAGCTTTTAAAAATTTTATTTAGTTAGAGACTTCTTTGCTAGACTATTTACTTATCACTCCTCCCTTTTTTAAGCTTAGTGTTTTCCTATTATTGAAAATAGATTTTTCCTCTCACATAATATATCCTGATTATGGTTTTCCCTTCCTCTACTCCTTCCAGATTCATCAGCTTCTTAAAGGCTAATTTCTGCTCGTCCCTTTTGAGCTCTTGGAAGCTCAGTCTTAGCTGAAGGTAGAAATTTCAGGCAAGGAACTAGCAAGACTGCTCAGAAGGCAGATGCTGCCCACCTGTGATCTAAGATCCATTCCTGGAACTCACATGGTGGAAAGGAGAGACCCCACTCTGAAGAGTGTTTTCTGCCCTCCTCATATGTGCTGTGACATGTGGGGCCGCCCCCCCTACTATAATGTAAAAGCTTTTATGAAAAAATTTTCATTGGTTGTGAAAACCGTATTTTTGTCTGTGAGTATATATGTGTGACTGTGTACCATACATGTGGGGGTTCCGGTGAAGCCTAGAAGAGGCATTGGACCCCGGGAGCTGGAGTTAGAGATGCTGGCCTGGGTGCTGAGAACCACAGGGTCTTCTGAAAGAGCAGCAAGTAACTTCTGAGTCAACCCTCAAACCTGGGATGCTAGCTTAGCAGTACTTGCTTTAGTTAGGAGACGTGACCTGTTCTCACAGCTTATCATATAACAGCTGTACTTCTGAGGAATATTCATTTGTACATTATGATGATCTCATAGCTTCCTTATTTCAGAACAGAAACTATACATGGTGAAAACAAAAATGCCATATTAATTGAATACAATGCTTGATAATTAGGAAAATTCTTTTTCAGATTAAATATGCTCTCAGCTTTTCTAACTGTAGATGGCAGTAGTACTACAGGTATGTTTTTGAGGGAAGCCAGTTCTTTTTTTTTTTTTTTTGGTTTTCGAGACAGGGTTTCTCTGTATCGTTTTGGAGGCTGTCCTGGAACTCACTCTGTAGACCAGGCTGGCCTCGAACTCACAGAGATCTGCCTGCCTCTGCCTCCCAAGTGCTGGGATTAAAGTCGTGTACCACCAACGCCCGGCTGGGAAGCCAGTTCTTATAAGGGTGTTTAGTTACTATTGATTTTCCTGGCCTAACTACTCAGTTGTCTTAGAAATGGCAGACAAGATTAAATTAAAGTTATTTGAGGTTTGTGTTTGAGGAATAGGATTCTAAGATATAAGATGCCTTTTCCTTCTCTTAACTGAATGTTAGAAGTATGTTTACACTTATTTTCATATGTATACTTGTCTGTCCACTTTTGTCAGTGTGTACATGTGGAGATCAGAGAAGTCCAGGAATTCTACCATGTGGGCTCCAGGGATTAAACTCACTCAGTCCTGTCTTCTGGGTTGGTGCAAGTTGCTTCTTTAAGACAAGGTACCCTGTCGTCCAGGCTAGCCTGAAACTCCAATCCTCTTGCTGACCCCCCTCACAGGTGTGTGCCACTACACCTGTATCCAGCTCTTAGTGCCTTCTTAATGCTGTTTTTATCTTCAGACATCTGCCAGATTACAGAATCAGCTTGGTAAAATTACTTGCCAAGCATGTGTATGTACTAACATTTCCCTAAACTTAAATTAGTGTAATGCTAGATGCAAGCACAAATGATCACCAAGATTCATATTTAGTAAATGAGGGGTCAGAATTTGAGCATGGAGACAAATGCAGATTAGCATTTCAGCTTTTAGAAGACAGTTCAAATAGAATTGTTTCTTTTACAGACGGTCTGTACAGATGTTTTTTTCTGTTGAGGCTTCACCAAGACCTTACTAGTATGGAAGCTTTCAAGTTTTTGTAAGAGTAGAATTCTTGCATGCTCAGTAGCTTGCATGTTCAGTAGGTGTCATGAAATGGCTCAGCATCTGTCACCAAACCTGATGGCCTGAATTCAGTACCTGGGACCCTCATGGTGGAAGGAAAGAAGAGATTTCCACAAGTTGTCTAACCTCCAAATAAGCACCACACACTAATTTTTTAATGAATGTATTAGTTAAATTTCTATTTTTATGATAAAACACCATGAGCCAGGCAGCTTATAGAGAAAGAGTTTATTTGGAATTATGGTGGAGAAGTGCTAGCAGCTGGAGTGGCAAGCTAAGAGCTCTCATCTTGAACCGCCAACCTGAGTCAGAAAATGAACTGGGGTGGTTGGATTCTTTAAACTCTCAAAACCCACTCTTACTAACATACTTCTTCCAGCAAGGCCACATCTCCTGAACCTCCCTCCCAGACAGCACCAAGTATTCAAGTGTCCAAGTTATAACGGATAGCTCATTAAAACCAACACATATGTTCTTTTTTTTTTTTTTTGGTTTTTTTTTTTTTTTTGGTTTTTACGAGACAGGGTTTCTCTGTATTGTTTCGGAGGCTATCGGTCCAGCCCGGCCTCGAACTCACAGAGATCCGCCTGCCTCTGCCTCCCGAGTGCTGGGATTAAAGGCGTGCGCCACCACCGCCCAGCTAAAACCAACACATATGTTCTTTAAAAACAAAATCCAGGTGGCAGCAATACACACCTTTAATCCCAGGCCATCCTGGTCTACAAAGCTAGTTCCAGGACATCCAGGACTACACAAAGAAACCCTGTCTCAAAAAACAAAACCAAATAATCCTGAATCTATGCATAGACAAAAACAAGCTGCTTATTACCTAGTAACAAATGTTTTGTATTTCATCTTTTGCTTAAAAAATGTTCTTTTACCAGTGAAAATGATAAACCCTAAAATGTAGTTTTAAGTTGCACATTTTGACTTTAAGCACAGTTGTTACCTGAAAGGAAGTAAAAGTTTATTTTGAGGATAATATGAGTGAGCATGGTGCAGGAACATGATTTGTATTACCCCTAAATTACATGTTCATCATGAACAAGTTTTATAGACTTTTATAGGCAGCAGATACATGGATGGGAACTTCATGTAGAAGACAGAATTCTACTATCGATTTCAGATACTGTCTGCTGACACTCTTAGTTTGGGGGTTGGTAGATGCTAGTGAGACACTAAATTAATACATTCCAAGGTTCTAATTTAATAGTTTTAAGGAATTTAGGTCAGACAGTGGTGAACGGTGAGTAACTTGACAGCACTTGGTAGGTAGAAGCAGAATGTCAGGAGTTGAAGGTTATCCCCAGTTGCACAGTGAGTGCAAGGCCAGCCAGGACTATAAGAGACCCCGCCTCAGAGGAAGCAAATATAAAAAAAGCAAAAGGGAAAAGAAATTAAAGCCAAGATCATTGTGCAGAAATGTCAAACAATATTTATAATTGAATAATTATCTATAACTAAATAATTGAAAATCCATAAACATCTACTAATGGAGGATATTAAATTCACATGGTGCAAGTTTTATGTATAGTAAGATGGTCTAATGTTGGCCTAGGCTGTCTTCAAGCTTACTTTTTAACCGAGAATGACCTTGAATCTCTGATCTTCTAACTACCCCCTTCCAACAGGCATGATCCATCACATCCAGCCTGTGTAGTCCTCGGGACCAGTAGGGATCAAACCCAAAACTTCATGCATGCTAGGCAAGTTGTCTACCTAAATTGAGCTACATCCTTGCCCCACTTTATGTATGTATGCATGTACATTTAGTTTTTTGATTCAGGGTCTCACTGTGTAACCTAGAATAGATTTGTCTTGCTCTGATGTAGACCAGGCTGAACTTGAATTTGTGGTAATCCTCTTGCATCTACCTCTCAAGTGCTGGGATGATAGGTATGTGCCACCATGCTTGACCAGAATACTTTATACAGAATAAAGTTGGAAGATGGAAAAATGAAGATAGAATTACATTTATTCATGCAAAACACAACTCTCACCCCAAAGGATATGAGAGAATTTATTTTGAGACAAATAAGAGTGGCCCATGGCCTGAGAACACAGATTTAAGTTGTTCCAAATGATATGTTCCCCTGTGGAAGTGGTTTACATAGGTTTTTGTAGTCACAGAACTAAGATAGTCATCAGTCAATACATTCATTCTATATAGGTCGCAACAAAACAAGAAAAACTGCTGAAGGTCTCAGATTATGTTTGATGATATTCCTAACTTTTGACTTAGTGACAGCTAGTGGTCTGCCAAGTGGATACATTTCAAAAGGGATGCTCAGCCAGATACGGCGGTTGATGATAGTGGCTGTTAGAGGGACTAACAGTTTTCAGTCTTCATCTGCAACATTCTGACTCTCTACTGTCATGAGATTCTGAAGTTCAAATCAGTCTACAGAATGTAGGTGTGGCTTTTTCAGGGAATTCAGTTTGTTCATCCTGTAACAATCAGATTGTATAGTGGTTTTGGATGTAGAGTAGGTTCTGAAGATCCGACTCACTGCTTTCCTGAGCCACATAAATCAGGTTCTACTACAGTTTCTATAGTTAATTTCAAATAAAGCTTTTGTTTCCCTTTTTCTCAGGAGTAGTGATTGGAGAGCTTGTTTATTTGTTTGTTTGTTTTTAAGACAGAGTCTTATTTGGAAGCCCTTGTTGGCCTCAAACTTGGGGTTTTTCAAGGCAGGATTTCTCTGTGACTTTGGAGGCTGTCCTGGATGTAGACCAGACTGATCTTGAACTCACAGAGATCCACCTGCCTCTGCCTCCTAAGTGCTAGAAGATGGGGTCTCTCCCTGAACTTGGGGTTTGCATATTTTTGCTAGATTGGAAGCTAGACTGGATCTTTCTATTCCCTGCTTCCCTCAGAGCTTAGGTCACAGAATACTGGTGTTTTAAGATGCTACAGTATGAGAGTTTAGATGATTAGACAGCACTTCCTTCTCATGTGTTAGCCAGCAACATCCTACCTACTTATTTATTTATATTTCTTTAATGTATGAGTCTTTTTTGTTGTTGTTTTTTTTTCCGAGAAAGGGTTTCCCTGTGTAGCTTTGGAGGCTGACCTAGAACTCCCTCTGTAGACAGGTTGGTCTCCAACTCACAGAAATCCACCTGCCTCTGCCTCCCGCCACCACCCAGCTGTGTATGCATCTTTTAACTGAGATTGTTTCAATGCACTATGTGTGCTCCTGGTACCCATAGAGACCAGAAGGGGGCATTGGTTCTCCAGGAACTAGGATCACAGGCAATTATGAGCTGCCATGTGGGTTCTGGGAATCAAACCCAGGTCCTCTGGAAGAATAGCCAGTGCTCTTAACTGCTTCAGCCATCTCTATCTCCCCCTTACATTTTTTAAAGTAATAATTTAAACATACTTATTTATTTGAGACAGGGTCTTACTATGTAGCCCTGGATATCCTGGAACTCCCTATGTAGATCAGGCTAACCTGAAGCTCACAGAGGTCCACCTGCCTCTGCTTGCCTAGTGCTGGGATTAAAGGTGTGAATACTTAATTTTATTTTCTTGTTACCAACTCTACAGATTATAAGCACACCACAGAGAATTACCAATTCAGGAAGTGTTCTGATTGGGAGTCCATATCCCCCTGCACCAGCAATGGTCACTCAGACACACATAGCTGAGGCTGCTGGCTGGGTTCCCAGGTAAGAGAGTCAGAAATGACTGTTTCTAAGCTTCCCACCCACCCCTTACTGTCCTGCTGTCTTGTCCTTGTCTTCCTATGTCCCCTTTTTAAAATTCACATTTATTTATTTTGCAAATGTGCACACATACATATTATATAGCATGTGTGGAAGTTAAAGGAGAACTTTGGGAGTCAGTCCTCTTTTCACTGTGCAGGTCCTAGAGATCAGACTCAGTTTGTCAGACTTGCTAACAGGTGCCTGTAGCCCACTGAGTCATGTCACCAGCCCAGATATTTTAATTTTAACTATGCATATAGGTGTATGTAAGGGAGTGTGGCTTGTGACCATGAGTGCAAATGCCTGTTGAATCCAGAAAAGAACATTGGCTCCCTGGAGTTGGAGTTATAGGTGGTTATGATCCACCCAAGATAGATGCAGTAAACCAAAGAATCCTGGTCCTCTGAAAGAGCAGCCGTATATGCTCTTAATCACAGCTCTGTCTCTCCAGTACTTATTTTTTTTTAAGTGTGTGTGTGTGTGTGTGTGTGTGTGTGTGTGTGTGTGTGTGTGTGTGGTGTACGTGTTCACATTTCTTATGGGCATATGTATTTGTGAGCATACATGTATCCATGTATACATATAGAGGCAGTAGGTTAACAACAGGTGTCTACCTTGATCATTCCATTTTATTTACTGATTAGGTCTTTCGTTGAACCCAGATCTTGCTGATTTGGCTAGTCTACCTAGCCAGCTTACCCCAGTCATCTCCTAACTTGGCCTGCTGAGCAAATGCTGGGATTTACAGGCAGGTTACTCCTCAGTACTAGCTGGCGTCTGGTCCTTGGGCTTGTATGGAGAGTGTTCTATACTCTGAGCCATCTCCCCAGCCCTTGAATTTGCCTCTTGTTTTGTTAATCTAGTTATTTTGGGGCTGGGAGGGGCGGGGCTTTATTTTGTTTTGGGAGGTTTCAAGATGGGGGTTTCATGTAGTTTAGGATGGCTCACTAAATCAGCTAAGTGGTCATCTTGACTCCTAATCTGACTGTGTCCATCTTCTGAGTACTGATTACAGGTGCTATGAGTTTGGTGGGTTTTACTGTTTTTTTGGGGGGGGGGGTTTCGAGACAGGGTTGTTTTGGAGGTTGTCCTGGAACTCGCTCTGTAGACCAGACTGGCCTTGAACTCACAGAGATCCACCTGCCTCTGCCTCCCGAGTGCTGGGATTAAAGGCGTGCGCCACCAACACCCAACTTGGTTTTACTGTTTTTTGAGACACAGTCCTGGGGTATAACACTGGCTAACCTGATACTTGGTATTTACCCCTGACTGGCCTTGAATTGTTGGTGATCCTGCTGCCTCAACCTCTTGAATACTGAGGTTACAATTATTTGTCACCTTACCCAGCTAATATATTGCTTTAAAATCACCAATTGGGCTCTCTACAGCCCAGGCTTGCCTCCAACATGGAGTTGCCCATAGTCAGTGCCACCATGTCCAGTGAATACAACCGGTGGGTAAAAACACTTGTTCTCACAAAGGAACAAAGTTTGGTTCCCAGCACCCACATCAGGTGGCTCAGGACTACCTGTTAACTCCAGCACCAAGAAGACTGATACCTTCTGACCTCCGTGGGCACCCAAATACATGTGGCATATACACATATAGACACACATACACATAAATAAAAATTAAAAGGAAGAAAGTGTTAAAATAATACTCCAAACCTTATTTTATCACTTTTAAAGATTTATTACTTGAGGAGTTATATATCTAGTAACTATGTGAGTTTGAGCAAACATAGTAAATCTTTGTTAAGAATGATCTTGTTCAAGGATAAATAAGTTAATGAAGTAACAGTCCTGTCAAGTGCTATTGTCATGTCTTTATCCCATGGTAAAAATGTTTTCTTGGGCTGGAGAGATGGCTCAGAGATTAAGAGCACTGACTGCTCTTCCAGAGGTCATGAGTTCAATTCCCAGTAACCACATGGAGGCTCACAACCATCTGTAATGAGATCTGGTGCCCTCTTCTGATGTGTACATTGAGGCAGGGTGTTATATTCGTAATAAATAAATAAATTAAAAAAATGTTTTCTTATGTGTACTTTTAGTGTAGAATGAGACAAATTATAATGGATTATTTAAGAAATAGTTGTGTGTTATGCTTAAGCTATCTTTTTGTCTTTTTAGTGATAGAAAACGAGCTAGAGAATTTATAGACGCTGATTTTTCAGAAAGGTGAGTATAAGTGTATTTTGTTTGATGTTCCACTATAAAAAGGGGGGATTCCTTTGCATAACTTTTTAACATGATTCAGTTGCTACCATTATTTCATTCTGCACTGAGGTTTCCAATTCACTTATTTGCACAGTTCCAATAGACATCCTGTGATATTGATCATTCAGGCCTCTTCCTCCTTTTGGGGGAAAAAATTGTTCTTCAAAAGTAAATACTCCGTAGTATCCTAACATACCCAAATTTTTTTAAAGATTTATTTATTTATTACATATACACCAGATTGAATTGTAGATGGTTGTGAGACACCATGTGGTTGCTGGGAATTGAACTCAAGACCTCTGGAAGAGCAGTCAGTGCTCTTAACCTCTGAGCCATCTCTCCAGCCCCCCATACCCAAACTTTTAAACAAGTTGTTTTATCTTAATTAGTTCTACATCATAGTAAATGCTTGTTTCTTTTTTTGTTTGGTTGGTTTTGGTTTTGGTTTTTGAAACAGGGTTTCTCTGTGTAGCTTTGGGGCCTGTCCTGGAACTCTCTCTGTATACCAGGCTGACCTCTGCCTCCCAGTTGCTGGGATTAAAGGTATAAACTATCACTGCCCGGCAAATGCTTGTTTCTTTAGACACCATTTGGGTTATGAGATTATCTTTTTTTAGAATATTGGCATAGTGGTTCTCCTTTTGTATATCAGAATTACAGTGGTCTCTCTTACATAAGTATAGTATCTCTCTAGTCAGTAACCTCTGACATTAAAGACTGTCAGTTCGAAGCTAGGAATATAACTCAGTGGTAGAGCACTTGTATAACATTCATTAGTCCTAGCTTCCATTCCCAGCACTAGGGGAAAAAGGACCTATTGGTCTAGAGCCATTATATGAGCCTAAGTTCAAAATGTCAGCAAGCCACTATTCTAGGTACCATGTTAGTATTATGCTATATTAAGATGAGAGTCGTCATTTCAGAGTCCATTGATCTCTATAAGATGAGAATTGGTCTGTTAATAAAGCCTTGCTGATGGTTTTTACAACATCCTCCACTCCATAGGAAATTACAAAAGTCCGCATGGGCTAATGTAAAACCCTGTTCTCAACTGAAAAGACAGAATAATAGAAACTCTAGCCTAGCAACAAATACAAATAGTTAATAAACTTACTTAAAAATACTCATTAGCATTAGTCATTAAAAAACAAGTGAACAGCACTGCTCTATATCTACTAAATAGCCACCAGGAAAAAAGACACTCTTGACTTTTACGAAGTCTTAGATTTATTTTTATGCATATGCATGTTTTGCCTGCATATATGTATATGTACCCAAAAAAGTGAGAATATCAGATCTACTATGGATGCTAGAAACTAAACCAGGTCCTCTACAAGAGCAACAAGGGCACTTAACTACTAAGCCAACTCTCTAGTCTCACTCACTCACACACACACACACACAGACACACACACAGACACACACACACATGCACACATTTCCTACTTAATGGAATTATTTTTGGGGGAGTTATGTTTTGTTGTTGGTTTTTGTTTTTCTTTTTTGAGCCTTCCAAATACTAGTATTACAAGTATGCATCACCATGGTTGGCAGTTATAGAAGTTTTTGGTTTTGTTTTAAGATTACTTGAGAGAGAGACACAGAGAGAGAGAGAGAGACAGAGACAGAGACAGAGAGTGTGTGTTTATGGGTGTGTGACATATATTCAGGTACCCTTGGAGACCAGATTCTCCTGGATCTGGAGTTGCAGGTGGTTGTGAGCTGCCTGATGTGGATGCTGGAAACCAAACTGTGGTCCTCTCTGAGAGCAGTTGTGTTTTTAACTGCTGAGGCATCTCTCTAGCTCCTACCATTTATTTATGTATTTATTATATATTTATCAGTGTTTGTGTACTTGTGCCACTGAACATATATGGAGGTCAGAGAACAATTTAATGAAATTAGTTCTTTCCTTCCTCAGTGAGTTCCTGGGTCTTTAGACTTGGAGGCAAGCACCTTAAACTTTCTCACCAGCCCCTCAGAGTGTACCTACTACTACTATTTAAACATTTGGATTTTGCTGTTTCTCTGTTCCTGTCTGTCCATATCAATCAGATGCTTAGTTCAACTACTCTCCCTTTTTTTTTTTTTTTTTTTTTTTTTTTTTTGAGACAGGGTTTCTCTGTATTGTTTTGGAGGCTGTCCTGGAACTCACTCTGTAGACCAGGCTGGCCTCGAACTCACAGAGATCCGCCTGCCTCTGCCTCCCGAGTGCTGGGATTAAAGGCGTGCGCCACCAACGCCCGGCTCTACCTTTCAATATTTGCAATTCTTGTCTGTTCTTCACTAACAATGACCTCAGCTGTTGCAATAGCTTCTTAGCTGTTTTTTTTTTCATCTCCTTTCTCCATAATATTCACCTTCAACTTTAACATGGTAATTTCTGCCTACAACAGTATCTCACTCAACTCAAATCACTTAGTAGTTTCACCTCATTTGATACTGTACTCTGGGGATGCTTTTATGGGTCTTTACTAATTGCATCAGGGTTCTCTAAAGGAGCAGAACTAGGAGAATAAAATACACACACACACTTCAAAGGCAGTTTAGACTGGTTTATATTGTGTAGTCTGGATATTCCAGCAATGGCTGTTTTCACAGTGGAAAATGTCAAGAGGCCGATAGTTATTCAGCTGGATGTCTCAGCGTTGCCAATCTGGTGCTGGAGTCTTGGAGGATTCCTGCAGTGCTATTGGTCTTTGGTGTATGTTGACATCCTGAAGAAGTTGGATTCTAATACTATTGAAGGAATACCTCAACAATGGGATAAATGAGCTTTCGCCAGTGAGAGCAACGGCAAGCTGGCAAAAAGCAACGTTTCCTTCTTCTATGATCTTTTTCCCTGGGCTGCTACTAGAAGTTGTAGCCAAGCTTTAAGGTGGACCTTCTTGCTTTTAGATACCTGATTAAGAACATCTGGAGGCAGGTGTAGTGCAGCTGGATCTCCATGAGTTCGAGGCTAGCCTTGTCTATGTAGTGCTCTTCCCCTGCTTGACATTACTCACCTTGCATTCTGTTGGTGCCCACCCTGCTTGTTCCTCCCTTTTATATGTGGTACCTGTTTTCTCCATCTTGTATTTGCTGCTGCTTCTCCTAACTGAATCTGTCCGCACTGCCTTCCTTTGACCTTTACACACTGTTGATGGCTTCCCCACAAGTCATTTTCCTACAGGCTAGAAAGCTGTCCTTCTTCCCACGTCCCACAGATCATGTTAGTACCTGGCCTGGCACTTTCACCTTTGGAACTGTCCACCAATATGTTTGCGTTTCATCATCATGCTCTAGCACTCATTGAGGGAGAGAATTTTACTTGAATTTTTATAATTATGGTTCTTAAAACAGTTGTACATACATTTGATGCTCACATATTATTAGAACTAAACTGACTCCTCAAGTCTTAATGGCTAAGAACTGAGACTGATAGTTTTAATGCCAAAGAAATGATAAATATTAACTAAGACACAGTCTCTAGAAGGCAGAGTTATTGTAACTTTGCACAAATTTATATCTAGTGTTTAATAGTGACTGGCATATAACAGTAATTTTTTATTTTTCATTACTTGCTTAATTAATGAATGACATAACAGAAAAGCACTCTGTGTATTGTTAAGCTCTTAAAATAAAACTTAAACTTCAAACTTCCATCTCAAAACTTAAACTTTCCATCTCAAAATAAAAGGAAACTTATATTAGAAAAAATTTTTCCCTATTCAATTTAAATTTTCTTCATTTGAAACTAAAACATAGAAACTAAATGAGTGTCTTCTGGTTTTATTTTTGCATATTGTAATAGAATATGAATTTTTTCATAAATATTTTTTCTTTCCTAGTAAACGAAGCAAAAAAGGTGATAAAAATGGGAAAGGCTTGAGACATTTTTCAATGAAAGTGTGTGAGAAAGTTCAGCGGAAAGGCACAACATCATATAATGAAGTAGCTGATGAGCTGGTATCCGAGTTTACCAATTCAAGTAACCATCTGGCAGCTGATTCGGTAGGTAGATCATGAATTTCATATGGATACATGATGATCCACTTTACCTTAAGTCTGTGTGATAGATCTAAGGAGTCTAGGAAGCTAAGGAATCCTGTAATTGAGAGTTTCCTACTTCATGTTAAGGAAATTTGTATTGTTAATTTTTGGTTTGTTTTGGAAATGTTCTCTTCCTTTGTATTTGAACAGATACATATTTTGAATTTTTTTATTACTTTAGTTTGCATGCATGAGTGTCTGGACATATCCATGCCATGACATATATGCAGAGGTCAGGGGACAATGTTGTAGAGTCAGTTCCCGCCCCCACCTTCACCTGGGTTCTGGAGACTGAACTCAGGTCATCAGGCTCATCTGGGAACTGGTCCATGTTGCTAGCCCCCCAATAATTTTGAAACTTGCAAATTTGGGGGCACTGAGAAGACTGAAGCAAGAAATAATCCACAGTTTTGAGCCAGCTTGCAGTATATAGTGAGTACAAGGCTAATCTGCCCCCATGTCAAAAAAACAAAATAGAAAAGTTCAGAATACTAGGCTATCACCCAGAAATTGATTGTAGATTAGTCTCTAATGTCAAGGATGCAATATTTACATCCAGTTCCATAATTTCAATTTTCTGTTGATTTAGCTTTTGTATTTAGAGGGATTCAGTGTTCCCCACTATCCTTTATTATCCTGACATTTAATTGATTCAGTTTTGTCTTCAAGACAAAACTGGTGATACACCAGGCCTGATCTAGAGAGTAAGTTCCAGGACAGTCAGGGCTACACAGAGAAATCCTATCTTGAAAAAACAGAAAAACAAAAAAAAGAACCAGAACTTCCTATTTACAATAAGAACCTCATGATACAAATAAATGTAAGTTATTCATTCAATAAAAGTCTTATTACCAAAAGAAAGGAAAAGGTTAGCTGAACCAATTGTTGTCCTGAGAGTACAGAACTATTTTGGGACAAATTCCTGTTCTCATTATAGTGTGAAAATAGCTAGTCAGCACTATTCCATGAACCACACTGTCAGAAGCACAGATTTACATAGATGTTAAAACATGCATTTTTGATATGCATGTGTATGTGTATATTGACTGTTTGTCAAAATGTGTGTGAGTGTAGGCTAATGCATGGGTGTGCAGATGCCAGAGGTTAAATCACCTTATTTTTATTATTTGTTTGTTTATGTTTTTATTTGTAGACAGGGTCTCAGTTTGCCTCTCTGACTGGCCTGGAACTCACAAAGAATCACTTGATTCTGCCTCCCCTGTGCAGGGACTAGAGATGTATGGTACCATTCCTGGTATACTCAGCTGGAGCCTGGGTTTCTCACTGAACCTGAAGAGTAGTGATTGACTAGCTGGGAGGCCAGTGAGCACCCAGGATCCACCTGTCTTCACCGCCCTTGAACTGGGTTACAGAAGCATGCCTGCTGCACTTGACTCTTCTACGTTTGATGGGGATTCAGGTTTTTGGGGGGTTGTTTTTGTTTTTATTTGAGACAGGGTTTCTCTGAGGCTTTGGTGGCTTTCCTGTAACTAGCTCTTGTAGACCAGGCTGGTCTCGAACTCACAGAGATCCGTCTGCCTCTGCCTCCCGAGTGCTGGGACTAAAGGTGTGCGCCACCACTGCAGAGCTGCATTGCAAGCACTTTACCCACTCAGGTATCTCCCTAGCCCTTGTTGTGTTTAAAGTATAAAATTTTTCCTAATAATGCATTTGTCATGGATATTAATTTGCATATATTCTGGATTCCATATGATAACTGATTTTATACAGCTGAGATATATATATTTACATTTTCTACATCTCCAAGCTTCCATTTTAAATAACCTATCTATCTTCCACCCAAAGACGTTCATTAGTATTTTTCAGTGTCAATCTGGTGTTAGTTAGTATATTTGTTTCTGAGGTTATTTTGTGTTAAAGTGTCTTCAGAGGTAGAGATAGGGAAACTCAGTGAGAACACTTACTTAGCCCCATGAGGCTTTGGGTTCAATCTTCAGAACCACTTAGAAAATAAACAAACAAATAAAGAATGTATTCAGAGCTAGCAAGATAGCTCAGCCAACAAAGGCACATTGTCGGTAAGCCTGATGACCAGAGTCAATCACAGGATTCACTTGGTGCAAGAAGAGATGGGCTTCCACAAATGCCTCTCAAGGCTCCACTTGGACACTATGGCAAGAACAACCAAGCTAAAAAAAAAAAATTGAGATGTTTACATTCTGAATTTTAAAGATGTTTTCACTGGACATAGAATTTTTTTCAGCAGTTGGGACATACGTCATCAACACCAGCAGCATGTGAAAGATAACCTGTAAGATTCAACACTTACTAAGAATATTTTTAGCAGGCTTATGATCAGAAGAACATTAGACGAAGAGTTTATGATGCTTTAAATGTGCTTATGGCAATGAACATAATTTCAAAGGAAAAAAAAGAAATCAAGTGGATTGGCTTGCCTACCAATTCTGCTCAGGAATGTCAAAACCTGGAGGTAAGAAGTGGTGTTGGATAGGTTTTTGGTTTTTTGTTTTACATGCAAGACATTTTCATTTAGAAATATAATCATGTAATACTAAAATATTCCCAATTGTTCATGTCTGCTATTCTGTGGAGAATTTTGAATTGGAATAATTTTAGAGATACAATTTGCAGTTTATTTCACCAATATGAAACTGAGCAACAAAATGTCAGTGAGTAGTTTGAGCATGGAGGTGATCATGGCTCATACCTGTAATCCCAGCACTTAGAAGCAGGAGGAGATTAAGAGTCAGGGTCATCACCACATATAGTTCAAGGTTTGCCTGAGTACCCAATCTGTCTCAAAGAAGAAGAAGAAAAAAAAAAGCACAAACAATAACAGCAGCAAAGTTAGATGAATGGATTTCCTGGTAGAAGGGGAGGGAAATGGTACAGAGCAGGAAGGATTAGGTATGATCTGCTAAGTAGTGACAGTGAGCTCAGAGAGGATGTGGGCATAACTGGCAACTAGGGGCTTAGCCTTTATTCTTTCAGCAGTGTCACACAGATGTTCATGTGACTCTTAAGTAATACAAAGGGTGTGGCGGTTAGTAGAGCTATGAAAAGGAGGACCTAGAGTGTAGACCAGAGTACATAAGGACCAATGGGAAATAATTTGTTGGAGCAGACAAGAAAGGTATTTTACCTGATGTGCCAAAGAAGAAAGTAAGATGGATATGATATATACCCAGTACTCAAGAGGTAGAGGCAAGAAAATCTTGGGTCTGAGCCTAACATGGGCTGCATAGAGAGACCCTATCTCAAAATACAACAACAGTGGATGAAAGTATAACTTCATTTTAAAGATTTGTTTGGGGCCTGGAGAGATGGCTCAGTAACTAAGAGCACTTGCTGCTCCTAAAGAGGACTAGGGTTCTGTTCCTGACACACAGATGGTGGCTCACAACCGTCTATAACTCAAGGGGATTCAGTGCCTTCTTCTGGCCCCCAAGGACACCAGACATTACATACACATGACATATATGCCGGTAAAATACTCATAAAATAAAGTTAAATCTTAAAAAATGATTTAAGGATTTATTTGTTGTTTTTTATAACTTCTGTTTTAAAGATAGAGAAGCAGAGGAGGATAGAGCGGATTAAGCAGAAGCGTGCCCAACTACAAGAACTTCTCCTTCAGGTAAAGATCTAGCATAGTTTTTCATTACCTTCCTAGCACACACAGTGTTTCTCTGCTTATTTACTTCCAAAGCCAGTATGTTTTGTAGTTGTAGTACCATCAGGTAGTATCTAGAAGAATACCAGTACAGCCCCACATATCATAGCTCATTGATTTTGAATGTTTAGCCTTTCAGATGGCCCAACTGACTGTCATATTTTTCCCCATCTCCAACTCCCAGGTTCCAACTTTGGGTGTTCATCCCAGAAGCTGCAATATCCAGGAGTTTTGCTGCTTCTTGTTTTGTCCCTAAGGGGGATTTTTTAGGTGTATCCTAACTGGTAAAGCAGTTGTGGTCTGACCTACAGTCTCTCCATCTAGCCTGTACTAAAAGATCTACAGTGTCGCCACCAGACTCAGAGATAGGTTCCCTGTCAGAAGCTGGACAAGTCCCATTTCATGCTAAGAGATGTCTGCACCAAAGGGAAGGCAAAATGAGGAATGATTGTTGAATAGAAGGTCTCCCCATTGAGGCTATAAAATACATCTCAGGAGCTAGCCCAGTTTGTCTGTGGGGGGAAAAAACTGTTGTTTCTGGGACCAGGGACTTGGACAAAGGGGCAACATGAAATGTCAGGTTTCTGTATCCACTAGGAAGTTCAGGGTGTACCATTTTATAAAGTTATCTGAGGCTCATCAAGTGAACTGGTATTAGGGATCCTGGAGAGGGAAATCCCAGGACCCATCAATGGGGAAGCTGTTTTCAAGCTCTTGTCACTCAAGGACCCTCTTGACCTCCAGTTATTGCCTTGGCATTTGGGAAGGGATTCAGCTCAGAGTGAAACATAATTCTCATAGTTCTGTCCTTGGGGCATTCCTTCCAGAAGTACACTGGCTGGCCACAGAGGGAGCATGTCCGACTCCAAGATGGCTCTTTCTTGGGTGGCTCTCATAACAGCCAGCAGGTTATTATGTTATTTATTCTTTTACCTCACCCTTTGCAGGTCCTGTTTGAAGTGCATTGGCCTAGCCACCAGTTTTTGCAGTTTTCTATGGCTATCTGGGACTGGTTGGGGAAGACTATGTCTTTCGGGAGGACGTCCTCCAAGGACTCTGGTGTCCCATGTGTATGCTTTTTAGTCATCTCTTTAGTCTCTGGAGAAAAATAATAGGAGGTCTACTTTCTCTCTGGCAAATGGCCTTCAGCTAATAATCGAGTCGTTTGATCTCCATTTTCCTTAAATCCACAGAAATATGAGTGCTTTCTCTTCCAATGCCCTTTCCTTTACCTACCTTCTTCTAAGGTCAAGGTCTGATCTAAAATGAGCATGAAACCTCTCCAGGCCAGGCTGTAAAGACTGTTAGGTGCTAGAAGGTCTGTATTATATATACTGGTCTGTATATACTGGTTTGTCAGTGAAACTATCTAATTCCATTTTTAGCATTTTTTAAGCCCGGCTAATACAAAAAGACTCTCTAAACATAGGTGGGTCTGGCCAGGTGTTAGTGGCTGACACCTTTAGTCCCAGCACTCGGGAGGCAGAGGCAGGCAGATCTCTGAGTTTGGGACCAGCCTGGTCTACAGAGCGAGTTCCAGGACAACCTCCAAAGCAATACAGAGAAACCCTGACTCAAAAAACCAAAAAACAAGAAACACCAAAAACATAGGTGGGTCTGAATTCTCCCCTTATCTCTTGCAAGGGAACCATGTCAGGGCCTCAAGGTAGTCCAGTTGAACTTCTTAAGTTCCTCTAGGATATGATGGGCAGAGTTTGGGGGGAATGAGAGCCGCCAAGTTGGGATATGTGGGGGGGGGGGGTTTGTTTGTTTTTTTGCTTTTTTGAGACAGGGTTTCTCTGTATAATAGCTCTGGCTGTCCTAAAATTCATTTTGTAGACCAGACTGGCTGGAACTCACAGAGATCCACCTGCCTCTGCCTCTGCCTCTTAAATGCTGTATTGAAGGTGTACACCACTGTGCTCAGCTAGGGATATGTAGGTTTTGAAGGAAAGAGGGATTATAGGGCTAGATGGGGGGGGGGGTCTCCTGATTTCAAAGGTGCAGAGGCTGTCAAAGGAGCAGGACCTAACTGACAATTGTCAGCCTTGAAGACAAAAGAAAGTTGGCCATAGGGAATATTAGAACATTTTCCCTCTTATAGAATTGGGCCAAGTGAAGGATAACATTGTAATTGAAGATCTCCCGAGGCATCTGTTTTTGTTTTTTGTTTTGTTGTTTTGTTTTGGTTTTGATTTTGTTATTTTGAGATAGGATCTTGCTACATAGCCCTGGTTGTCCTGGAACTGACTATGTAGAACCAGGCTGGCCTCAAACTCAGATATCCACCTGCCTTTGCCTTCAGAGTGCTGGGATTAAAGGTATGCATCACCATGCCCAGCTAATCCATCTGTTTTTCACAACATACAGGAGTTATTGAGACTATGACTACTAGGAATTTTTTTTTTTTGTCTAAGTGTCTGAGGGTCTAATTCTGCCCATTGTGAAGGCAATCAAGTAGTGACTTCCAGAATAGTCTTAGAGCCATTTTTCTCATCTGTGAATGAAACTCAAATTATTACTACTGGAAACAGTAACTGCAGGTTTTTGGTAGACATCCAACTTAGTTCCTCTTAATGTTTCATTTTTATTCCTTTTATCAAATGAGATTTACAAAGTAGTCATAGAAAACAAATTATGCAAGCTGTCCATGTACATTAATTTTTTGTTGTCTAACTGATTTGATTTTTCTTAGTATGTCACAACTCGCTGTTCCTATGACACAGGTTAACTATTATCTACATGCTACCACCTCCCCTTTATCTTTGTTACTTTTCTCACATGTTCTGGTTAAGTTTAACTATCAACTTGACATGGCCTAGACTTCCTAAGACAAGAGTCTCCATTGAAAGATTTCCCAGGTCAAATGGCATCTGGGGATGTCTGTTAGGGATTATCTTGATTGTTAATTGATGGGGAGAGTGCAGCCCACTGTGGATAGCACTAGTCTCTGGACAGGTGGTCTGGGGCTACATAAAAAAGCTAAGCATGGATCTGCAAGCTAGCAAGAAAGTATTCCTCCATGGTTTTTGCTTCAAGTTCCTGTTGAGTTCACACAGTAAGTAATAGACTGTAACTTGAAATAAACCCTTTCCTTCCCTGAGTTGCTTTTGGTTAGAATATTTTATCACAGCAACAGAAGTAACTAGAATACCACCTGACTTAATCTTATCAAGACAGTCCCACACAAGCATGCCCAGGAATCCATCTCCCAGGTGATCCTCATCAAGCTGACAATTGAGATAAGTCATCTGACTACATTATACCCTTAGATAACTCATGCCTTCCTTTTATGTACATATTTAAAGTTTACTGCCTTTTAAACCTTTTCCATAAGGAGCACAATTAAAGTTGTTCAGCTTCTGGAACAGATGATATTGAGTCTTAAAAAGGACAAAAAGACAAAAGGAGTCAATTAAAGGGCAACAAATAAAGAAATCAATTCAAAGTACATAGGAGGTAATTTCATTTTTACTATTAAAATAACAATATTGGGTTAGGGTTGTAACTCAGTGGTAGAGTACTTGCCTAGTGAGAACAAGGCCTTTGGTTCCATCCCCAGCACTGCAAAAACAAAAAGGCTAAAATAACAATATGTTTTAACTGTTTTCATCATCTGTAACAATTTTGATGCTATTAATTAAATAGGGAGTCGTAAGTATATAGGGACTCTGCCTTATCACTGTTTATATTCCTCTATATATTTATGCTTTCCCACAGCATGAGGGCCAAAGTTGGGTAGAGTGTCAGACAGCTCCCAAGATAATGTGGTCTAGTTCAGGTCCCTCCACTTAATGACTCATTTCAGTCTGAGGAATCTGATATGGCATGAGTATGTAGATATACAAATCAAACACTTGCTGATAATAAACCATGAAGAAATTTATTTTAAAATAATTCTGTTGGAAAGTAATTTTATCATTTATTGAAGACAAAAGCAAATTTGCAAGCTGATGATGAACTTGGCTTTTTATTTTTACATAGAGATTGAGACTAACATGACGGCTAGTAGGTAGAGACACTTTGAATGTAAATCTGCTGGTCTGAGTTCAGTTCCTAGAATACCACAGAAGGTGGAAAGGGAGAACCAACTCTCCAGAGTTGCCCTGTGATCTTCACACACATACCATAATAGTAGTAAACTTAACTTTTGAAAGAGTTACAGTTTGACCAAATAATTGATACTGCAGGTCAGAAAATATCTTCAACATCTTTCAGAGTTGTTATGTTGATTTTATAATTGGCAGTGCTGAGACTGTCATGTTGTATAAATATATCATACCTGATGGTAGAAGTATATTTAGGATATAACAAAAATTATTAAAATTCTGTCCTAATCTCAAGACAAAACCAATTTAATGATTTATTAATCTCAAAAAACTTTGTTGTTGTTGTTTTGAGACAGGGTCTCTCTACATAGCCTCTGACTGTTCTAGAACTCACTTTTTTTTTTCTTTTTCTTTTTCTTTTTTTTTTTTTTGGTTTTTCGAGACAGGGTTTCTCTGTGGCTTTGGAGGCTGTCTTGGAACTCGCTCTGTAGACCAGGCTGGCCTCGAACTCACAGAGATCCGCCTGCCTCTGCCTCCCGAGTGCTGGGATTAAAGGCGTGCGCCACCAACGCCCGGCTAGAACTCACTTTTACAGACAAGTCTGGCTCAGACTTGGACTGCCTCTGGCTCCTAAATGCTGGGACTTAAGGCACATACATTAAACTAATTTTATGTTTATATGCTAAGTAATGATGATAAAAAATATTACAATTCTTTGTTTTCCATAATTGATTATATTTTCTACACGAGTGGAAAAACAGTGACTGGGGAACTGGAGAGTTGGCTCAGAGGTTAAGAACACTGACTGCTCTTCCAGAGGACCTGGGTTCAGTTCCCAGCACTCACATGGCAGCTCACAACTGTCTGTAACTCCAGGATCTGACACCCTCACACAGACATACATGCAGGCAGAACACCAATGTGCATAAAATAAGAATAAATAAATTTAAAAAACAGTTATTGTTCATTGTTGTATGGTGTGGTGGCATAAACAGTACACAGTGGTCACCCTGTGCTCTGTGAACCCCAGCTTCAGGGATATTCCACGGCACAACACAGGCAGCACTGGCTGAAACACCTGGTTCATGGTGTGGTAGATTTTGAATTAACTATTTGTCGTTATAATTCAGAAACCTTTTACTGTTGCCAATTTTTTTTTGTAACTCACACATTCATTTATGTAATTTCATATGGGATCTCAACCCACAGTCTAAAAAACTGTGTTCTCACAGGACGTAATGGCAGATCTATATTCCCAGAACTCAGGAGGTAGAGGTGAAAAGATCTGGAATTGAAGATCATTCTTCGCTACACAGCAAGTTAGAGATCAACCTTGACACTTGCCTAGAAGGGAGGAGAAGTTATATAAATGTTTGACTACTTCATTCTTTTTCTCACTTCCAATTTCAGCACATTCTTCTCTGGATGTAAAATGAGTTGAGGAATGAATATAAACTACTTTCAGTTTTTTGTATTTATTTATTTCGTGTACATTGTATTTTGCCTGCATGTATGTCTGTGTGGGGGTGTTAGATAACCTAGAACTGGAGTTACAGACAGTTGTGAGCTGCCGTGTGGGTGCTGGGAATTGAACCTGGATCCTCTGGAAGAGCAATGCTCTTAACTACTGAGCCATCTTTCCAGCCCCTTACTTTTGTTTCTTGGGAACCAAAATAGCAAAGAAATGTAACTTAAGTTTGATAATTGTAGTGATAGTGGTAGTTTTGATAGTTGTTGATAATGGTAGTTGGACAGTTAATACTAGAATAAATTGGTATTCCTTCTAAATAAGGAATATTAAGAGACAGTGTTTATTTTCTAGGGAGATAGAACCCAGCCATTTTAAGATAGTTTTATAAATCAAACTTTAGTTAAGGCCCCAAACCTGAAATGAAGTTGGTTTTGTTGCTGCTTCATCTGTTTCTTGTCGTGAGTATCCCAGATGTCATCTTGAGAATAATTCCCTACTTTAAAGGAATTGTGTATCTCTGGCCTAGATAGAACAAATGAGATGTATTTCACCCTAAACTCTGAGGATGCTGTATGAGTGGAGTTGAGCTAAACTTACCTGAGGCCACTCTGAAGAGAACTGTTGTCTGTGCTGCTGGGCTCTCCCATGTGTCTGAGAGCCTGTTTCTCTGGGAAATGGAAACCAGAGGCCCCAACATTTACCTTAGTTAGATATCATCAGAATTTGTGTTTAACTGGGCACAGTGATGCATGCCTTTAATCCCAGTACTTGGGAGGCAAAGGCAGGTGGATCTCTGAGTTCAAGGACAGCCCAGTTAGTTGAGTTCCAGTACAGTCAGGACTATACAGAGAAACCCTGTCTCAAAAAAAGAAAGAAACACATGTGTTTTACTCTTGCAATGTGTTTTTTGAACGTAATCTTTCATCATGTTTAACTTTTTTATTTGCTAGTATAGATGGACTGCTTGTTTAAATACTCTAATTTTGATATAGATATTTAAAATGTATTATGTTAATTCACTTACATCCTAAGTCACTTTTTCATATTAAATGACTACCTTTTGTTTATTGAACATTACAGCAAATTGCTTTTAAAAACCTGGTACAGAGAAATCGACAAAATGAGCAACAAAACCAAGGCCCTCCTGCTCTGAATTCCACCATCCAGCTGCCATTTATAATCATTAATACAAGCAGAAAAACAGTCATAGATTGCAGCATCTCCAGTGACAAGTGAGTGGGAAACTAGGGGAGGGGTACAGGGCTGACTGTTAGTATTCAGGCATCTGTACTGGCCTGTCCTTGGGGTTCTGCAGCCACTAAGAGGCACCGCCTGGGCATATTCACTATGTTCCCTTTTAAAAGGGCCCTGCCCATCTCCCATCCTCCTCTCTCTGGCCATCTGCCTCCCTCCCCCTGTCTCCATTTCTCTCCTCTGTCTTCCTCTTTCCTATCTCCTTTGCCTCCTGTCTATGGAGGCTGGTCTCTCCCCTTCCCTTTCTCCTTTCTTTGATCCCTTTCCCTAATTTAAAAAAAAAAAAAACCCTCTGCAAGAACCCTGTCGCATGGCATCTTTCTCTTGCACGTCAACACTGGCCTTCTGTTCCCCCACGTAAAGATGATGCACTCCACTGTCTACAGCCCTTTAAGACTGGTAGCTTCCATGGGGTATGTGAAATGTGTCCTCAGCAAGAGTGAGCTCCATCATTTACCATTCATAGTTCCTTACCCCATGTCAATCTTGCCTGTGATATGTGTGGTGATACCTGGCTCCAAGCTGTCATATGTGTGACACTTATGTGGTAATTGAGCAAGTAACTCAATAAGTTAGTCCATCAATGAGGAAGAAGTTGGTTCATTGGTTGAGTTACTGTTACAGTTTATTATGAAAATATATCAGACCAGTATGAGGCATTAATTGTCTCATTTATTATATCATACTTAAGTATGATTCTATTTGGTTTTTATTTGGCTTTTTAAGAAGGGGATTCATAGTCCAGGCTGTCCTCTAACTTACTATGTAGCCAACGATGGCATTGATTTCATCTTCCACATGCTGAAATTAAAAGGTATGTGCCATAACACCTGCTACTTTTGTTTGTTTATTGATGAACAACCTTAAGGAGTCCTGAGTTTGGATCCCTCACCCATATAAAACCTGGGTGTGTCTCGGATACCTATAACCCCAGCCTGGGGCAAGGGTGAGGAAGGATAATGATGACAGAGCAGGAAGTTTGCCAGGGCTTGCTTAGCCAGCCTACTCAGTGGGCTTCAGGTTCCCTGTGAGAGCCTGTCTCAAAAACTAAGTTGAAGGGTGATAGAGGAGGACATCCAATGCCCTTGTGTGGCCTCCACCCATGTAAACTCGTACAAATAGAATTTGACCCCATTCACTCTGACAAATAGGAAGTAGCACTCTTCAAAGTAGAACATTCATTATATCTTACCCTTTCTTCATGAAGAAGTTAGAGGTGCATAGAGGACAAAGCGGGTTTCGGTGGTGGATTGGAGCTCCTCTCCCTGCCTTCCCTGCCTTCCCCACAGAGTCCTCTCCCTCCCTGCTCATGAGCTCTGTTTACAGCCTTGTGAGGATGAGTGACATGATGCTTTTAAACGATCTGGTTCGCCGGGCGTTGGTGGCGCACGCCTTTAATCCCAGCACTTGGGAGGCAGAGGCAAGAGGATCTCTGAGTTTGAGGCCAGCCTGGTCTACAGCGTGAGTTCCAGGGCAGCCTCCAAAACAATACAGAGAAACCCAGTCTCGAAAAATAAAAAAAAATAATAATAAAAAAGATCTGGTTCATTGCAGCATTTTCTAAGTGCTAGTTGCTGTTCTTAGGGCTATCGGTTTTCATTCTTTACATTTCTTAGCCTCTCTGAGATCTCATTCCTTCTTCTACAAAATAAAAATTTGGGCCACCAAAATGGCTCAGTAGATAAAGATGCTTGCTAGCAAACCTGATGACCTGATCTAATCCTCAAAGCGCACATGGTAGAAGGAGACACCATCTCTAAAAAGTTACTCATTAATCTCCACACTCACTAAAATAACATGTAAGAATTCAAGACCTAAAAAATTAAAATCAGTTATTTTGCCAGTTTATAAAAAACTATAAATTCACACAACAGCTAGCCCAGTAAAATGTTACATGTCAGAGTTATTACTCACATCCACAGACTACAGAAACCTGTATCTAAGAGGATTATCATCATATCCTAACACCAAGAAGTCTTCAGAGTGTTAATATCTTCAGAAGTGACCTGTAAGTGTCACACTGTAATTACTCTCTAAAAAGTTAGTCTCCTGTTATATGAGGGACTACAAAATTCTCTTCTTGCCGTAAAGGGCTTCCACAGCTGAGCATGTAGCACCTGTAAACCGAGGTTGAGCAGAAAGGTTGCTATGAACTGGCCACCACTGGCCAGCCAGGAGAACTGCTTAAGAGAGACCTGTCTCAATAAATAAAAAATTTTTGAAGAACTGAAAAATAGTGTCGGTAAAATTGGGAAGCATTGACCTTAGCAGCTTATGGCCACTGTTCACCCAGGCTGGGATCTGTTTTGGTTCTGTGCCTTAGGTGGTCACTGACTCATGCCTTTCTTGGCACCCCTTCATGGAGCAGCTTGCACATGCTTGTTGTTTGAGGTAGGTCCGCAATCTTTAATTAGCCAGGAGGCTTTCCCACAATGAAATTTAGTTTACAAAGCCATCTGCATGTAAAGGTGCCTGAAATCTGTCCTCTGGCAAGGACCCCCTTCCAGTCAGCTGTAAGCTTGTTAATCTACTTTATCCAGACTCACACTTTAGCATCTTGCTCTGAGTTACAAACTTTGCCCTGGTTTGAGTGTCAGCCTCACATGCTGTTAATAGAGAATTCCATAACAAGGTAGAACCCACTGTTACTTAGAACCTGCACTGGAACAGTATGGAACTGAGACCTATAGATGGAGGTCTCAGACCTCGCTGGATGGTGACAGTTCTGTCCTGCAGGCAGGTGTTTCCTGGGTGTCAAGCTTAGGTCACATCTTGGCATCTTGCTGGTCCTTTGCTCCTCGCTCGCACTGTGTAGCCAGACATGTAAACTGACTACGTTTCAACAGCATTCTGATAGGTGCTGTGTACTTCATATGTGGTATTTTTGTTTGTGACAGGTTCTCTCTCTGTAGCTTAGGCTGGACTGGAACTCTTGAAACCTAAGATGGCTTTAAGCTCCTAGGAATGGCCTTCCAAGTAATGGTGTTACTGTCATGAGCCACCCTACTGAGCACTGTGACACTTATTTAAAACATTTTATTCTTAGCTCTTCAAGACAGGGTTTAGTAGAGTTTGCTTATTAAAATTGTCTTCCATTTAATTCAAGTATGTTCAGTTCAAGTGTCTGAAGTCCCAACTACCTAAAAGGATCCCTGAGTCCAGGAGTTCAGACCAAACTCTGCAATGTGGCAAACCTCATCTCAAAACAAAGGGAAAGGTCTCTATGATTGACTGAGTATGCTGTGACTAGTCCTTGACTCAGGAAAATTAATTGAGCATTCACTATATATTTCCTTAAGCCTAATAAGCCAGTCTACGACAGACAACAATAAGTAAACTAAACAAACAAAGCACAGGGTGTAAGACCTTTCAGAGCTCCTCTGTAGCACCAAAACCCCCATACTTCTGCCTGCTTCTGCCTCCCGAGTGCTGGGATTAAAGGTGTGTGCCACCACCTCCCTCCTTTATTCTTTATCTTTTTTTTTTTTTTTTTTTTTTTTTTTGGTTTTTCGAGACAGGGTTTCTCTGTCTTGTTTTGGAGGCTGTCCTGGAACTCACTCAGTAGACCAGGCTAGGCTGGTCTCGAACTCACAGTGATCCGCCTGTCTCTGCCTCCCGAGTGCTGGGATTAAAGGCATGCGCCACCAACGCCCGGCTTCTCCTTTATTCTTTAAAAAAAATTACTATTAAACTTAGGTATTTGTGTGTGTGTGTGTGAGAGAGAGAGAGAGAGAGAGAGAGAGAGAGAGAGAGAGAGAGAGAGAGAGAGAGAGAGAGAGAGAGAGGGGAAATAGGGAGGGAGGGAGAGAGGGAGAGACAGACAGAGAGGGAGAGATCTAGGGAAACGAACTCCAGTTGTCAGGATAGTATCTGGCACCTTTAACTACTGCGCCATCTCACTCACCCCTCCCATCCTTGCTTTATTTTGCAGGTTTGAATACCTTTTTAATTTTGATGACACCTTTGAGATCCATGATGACATAGAAGTTCTGAAGCGGATGGGAATGTCCTTTGGTCTGGAGACAGGCAGGTGTTCTCTGGAAAATCTGAAAATTGCGAAATCACTGGTTCCAAAAGCATTAGAAGGCTATGTCACAGGTATGCTGGTGACCTGACATACCCCATCCTCAGAGTGTGTGTAGTTCAGGGAACCTGTGCTAGCTTCACTGGGTGGCGTTCTTTAATAAATTCATGGCCTCCCCCCCCAATCAGTGATTTAGAGGATTACAAACTTACACTATACAATATGTATTGTTCAAAAAAAAATTGGCTGACTCATCACTAAGTTTAGGTCCACAGTGATGTATTTTCTCTGGAAAGCTGAGAGTCTTGTAAAGCTTTTAGTGACAAGCTTGGTGGAAGTTTGGTTTTTGTTTTCTTTGTAATTCCCTCTCCTAGGGGAAGTTAGAGTAGTTTACAAAAAAAGAAAGAAAAAAAAGATATACCCCCACTCTAATGGAATGCTGTATTTGTGTATTCAGTAGATCTGAATTCAGAGAGCAGAAATGTCCTAATTTTCTGTTGCTACACTAAAACACAATGGAGGGAAGGGTTAATTTGGGCTTAGAGGTAGTTACTGAGTGCAGCAAGCAGGAGGCGCTTAGTTAGGCTGGAACAGTGGCTGAGAGCTCATATTTCAAACCTCAGACAGGAAACTGGAAATGGCCTGAGACCTCAAAGCTGGCCTCCAGCAAGGCCACTTTTTTTGCTGTTGCATGAACAAATCATAGTGTGTTCATTTGTGCTGATAAACTTTTAGTTGGCTCCTTCCCCTAGTTCATGCTAAAATACAGTGCTGCTTTGAACTTCCCATCCGTGTCCTACTGCTGCGTGCAGACTTACAGATTGAAATCACTGGGTCTGCATCCAGTGGGTCATGAGCTTTCTTAAATGGTGCCAAAATTTTTCAATTTGATTTTACTAGGTTTTATTTTCCCAGTCAGGCTTTGAATTAATATTTAATTCACATAAAATAAAATATCCATTTAAAAAATTTTATGTGGGTGAGTGTTTTTCCTACATGTGTGTCTGTGTACCACATGTGTGTCTCTTGCCCAAGGAAGCCAGCACAGGGTGTCAAATCCTTTGGGACATGCCAGGTGGTGGTGGTGGTGGCGGTGGCACACACCTGTAGTCCCAGCACTTGGGAGGCAGAGACAAGTGGATCTCTGAGTTCAAGGCCAGCCTGGTCTACAGGGCAAGTTCTAGGACAGTTTCCAATACAGAGGAACCCTGTCTCAAAAAACCAAAAACAAACAAGCAATAAAAGAACTGTAATAGCCACTGGGGTGTTGGGGCAGGGCCATAAACCTTTAGTCTCAGCACTCCGGGAGGCAGAGGCAGAGGCAGGGGGGTCTCTGTGATTTGTGGCCAGGTCAGCCAAGGCTACACAGAGAAACTGTCTTGACAAACCAAAAAAAGAAAAAGGTGGGAAAATGCTTTGGTACTGGAGTTGCAGACAGTTGTGAACTACAAAGTGGTCTCTAAGGTTTAAACCCAGGTTTCTATAAGAATAGCCAATGGTTGTAACCCCTGAACCATCTCTCCAGTTCTGTAAATGCCCATTTATAAAAGTATGTAATTCAGTGGTGTTAGTAGTCTAGTCTGTTTTTTGTCACTGTGGTTTGCCAGTTCTAGACATTACATATAAACAAGATTGGACATTATGTGGCCTTTGTAATGGCTTCTTCCACTTTGCATAGTATACTATGCTCTGTATTCATCCAAGGTATCCCATGCCTTTGTGTTATTCAAGTATTTCTGGTTGCTCAAAATGCTTAGGATGAGAAGTGATTCCAAGCAGGGCGGTGGTGGTCATGCACACCTTTTATCCCAGCACTGGGGAGGCAGAGGCAGGCGGATCTCAATCTCTGTGAGTTCGAGACCAGCCTGATCTACAAGAGCTAGTTCCAGGACACATTCCAAAGCCACAGAGAAATCCTGTCTCAAAAAGCAAAAAAAGAAAAGAAAACAAAAAGAGAAGTGGTTCTGATTTGGGTGGGTTTTTTGTTTGTTTTGTTTTTAGGATTTTTGTTTGTTTGTTTGTTTTGTATTTTGTAGTTGTGATTTTTTTTGTATCTTGGAATCTAATAAAGCTATTTGATATGGAACCTAAATCTAAACAAGAGATTTGTATTTCATATGCATATACCCAGTTACTTTGTAGAGTATTTTAATGTGTTTTGACTGGTTATAATACGAAGTTAAGTAAGGAATTTTACACTTTTGGCATTATGTCAATACTTAGAAAATTTTAGATTTTGAAACATTTCAGACTTGGGACTTTTAGATTAGGGAGGTTCAACTTACACCCATTCCTTTTTTCTTCTTCTTGGTTTTTCAAGATAGGGTTCTCTGTAGCTTTTGGAACCTGTCCTAGAACTCACTCTGTAGACCAGGCTGGCATTGAACTCACAGAGATCCATCTCCCAAGTACTGGGATTAAAGGTATGCGCCACCACTTCCCAGCATACCCATCCTTTTTATTGGCAAATAATGTTTCATTTTATGGATGTATCACATTCTCATTCATTCATTGGTTGGTACACATTTGGATTCTTTAGACTTTTGAGGTTTTTGTTTTTATAGACATATTTTCAGCTTTGTTGGAGTAGAACTATTAGTTTTGTCTTTCTTTTTTTTTAGTGAAATGACAAATAGTTTTTAAAGTGGCTATGCCATTTTACAGTTCTAAGTAATGTATGAGGGTTTTTTTTATAATATCCTTCTCACTACCCTCCACACCTCAATTTTTGGTGCTAGTGATTGGATACATGTTTGTTTTGTTTTGCTTTGTTTTTCATGATAAATATGCACTCTAGGCTCAGAGAAATGGCTCAGTAGTTAAGAGCAGTGGCTGATTTTCCAGAGGTCCTGAGCTCAATCCCAGCAACCACATGGTGGCTCACAGCCATCTCTAACGGCAACTGATGCTCTCTCCTGGAGTGTAGACATACATGCAGGCAAAGCAGTTACTCATTAAAAACATATATACTCTGCTACCAAGCCTGTCCGTCTTTATAATTTCACATGGTGAAATGGTAACTCGCAGTGACTGTTTTCTAACGTCCCTAATGGTTTAGGTTCTTGCGTCTTTTCATGTCTTTATTAGTTACTTAATTGTTCTCGGAGAAATATTTTTATTATAAATTGAAAGAGTATACTAGATGTAGTTAATAAAAAGAAACCTTTATGGGCTCTGTAATTCATATATTTTTCACTAATTTGGAAATGTTTGTGGTTTTGCTAATTCCCACAAGATTATATATCCTACAAAGGTAACTTGAACATTTAAAAGTACTTTGGGCTTTGATTTCATACAGAATTTCACATCTTTTTTGTTGTTGCTGTTGTTGTCATTGCTATTCCTTTCAAGATGGGCTCTCAGTGTTGTCTAGGCTAGATTTGAACTCCTGGACTCCGATGACCCTGCTGCCTGGGCCCCCAGAGTAGCTGAGACCATAGGTGCACACCACTCTACCTGACTTCACATCTCTTTAACAGTTTTAAAATTAGTTGTAAGGCTTATATTCATTCAAATATAAGCAAAAAGGTAGTTTGTTTTAGCCTTTTGCTCACATGTTTGTTAACTGAGATTTGATTTCTGTTGTACATCATGTTTTAAGTTGGTACCATCTGCCTTCTGCGAGTGTGACCCCTGACCCCCTTGCACCTCAGCTGATCCATGCTATATGTGCACTGTTCCCTGCTCCCTTTGCTCCATGTTCTCTGGCACAGATCTTGCTGTTTCGTTAGCCTCATTGCACTGGAAGTCCAGCAGTGTCTGAATAAAGGGCTTACTCAATAAATCACCAGAAGCTTTTTCATTATTCCCAGTGGAAGTGTTCAGGGTGATTAGCAGGCTCAGTGGTTTGATCTCTTCATGACCTCATTTGCAGACTGGGCTACAGATTTTCCTGTCAGTTCAAAGGGACATGTGCCTTTAGTGTCAAGGGAGGGAATGGCTCTTGGACAAGAGTGTGAGAACGACCGTGCAGAGCCTATAATAATGTGGGCTTTCAGTTTTTGAAAGGAAATAGAATCAGTAATGTTCACAACTGAATAGCCGTGACCCAGCAGAAAGTTTCTGCAGTTCTGTATACTAATTCGTACGCGGCACAGGTTTCCAGCTTTGATTTTATCTTGTTCAGACTTATACTTACTAAATGTATTCACAGTCTGCTATTCTTAGAATTGAAGTCTTCCCCCCTTCCCCACAGCTGTCTTAGCCTGTGAAGAAAGGCTCAGAAGGCCAGTCTAAAGTTAATGTCATTTAGTTTGCTCATTCGCACATGGGGACAGTCTTTCAGTAGCTAGACAGAATTCTAACCTTAGTATACATAGCCCCATGTTTTTTGCACAGTAATTACAAAAATAGTACAGTAAAGGGAATAGGAAGATGTCTCAGTGGCTAAGAGCACTGTTCCACAGCCTGATGACCTGAGTTCATCCTTAAAACCTACATAAAGAGCCGTATGTGGGAGTGTGCATGTTTTATCTCAGAATTCCTGCAGGGAGATGAGGAAGTAGACACAGAATTGGCCAGAAGCTCACAGAACAACTGCAAGTATGCAGTGTAGCAACAGAAACAAAAGAGACCCTGCCTCAACAAGCTAGAAGGCAGGGACCAACTCCCAGAGTCCACCGACTTCCACAAGCAGGCCATGGCATGCACACACCCACACTCACCCAGACACTCACACACAAGCCAAGGGCTGCCAAGATGGCTTAGTGGGGAAACACACCTGAGTGTGACCTCCTGAAGGAGAGAGCCAACTGCTTAAAGTCATCCTCTGACTTTCACTCTCATGCCATGCCATAGCTGCAGAAGTAAAATAACTTAAAAAGTGTAAATTTAAAGGTACAATAAAAGCTTATTTGAACAAACTATATTTTCTGAGTATGCATTAGGTTTTGCCTTACAGTGTGAGGTCACACACACATACACACACACACACACACACACACACACACACACACACACAGGTTTTCTCTGTGTAATCATGGCTGTCCTACAGTTTGCTTGATTGTAGATCAGATTACCCTCAAACTGAGAGATCTGCCTGCCTCTCCTCCCCAGTGCTGGGATTAAAGCTGGACACCACCATGCTCAGTGATGTGAAAATCTTTCTTTAATACTGTGTTTCTATAACTTTTCCTGTCTGTTAATGTCACCGTTGGCCAGGTGTGGTGGCGCACACCTTTAACCCCAGCACTTGGGAGGCAGAGACAGACGGAGCTCTGTGAGTTTGAAACCTGATCTACAGAGTGAATTCTAGGACAAGCAAGGCTGTTACATGTCACCTGTCTCAAAAACAGTAGCAATAACAAAAAAACAGTCACTGTTGAAAAACACTACACACATTCATTCATTCATTCTGAGGTCCCTAGACATTCAGGTTACAGTTATCTCTGAGTAACATTCTAGACAGGGAGGCATCTTGCAAGTAGCAGTGCGGTAAGAACTGACCTATTGTGATGGGAGAAGCATGGATCGTGCAGGGAAAAGGAGACACCAGGGCACGCCCTCATGGTTTCCTGCGAGCTGAAATTAAAACCATGACTGCAGACCTCAGAGGGGGCTCAGCCTTTAGGAGCATGGGGTGCTCTTCTAGAGGACCGGGGTTCAGGTCCCAGCACCCATGTGATCTCTAACAGCTACCTGTCACATGAGTTCCAAGGAATGTAATGCCTTCTTTTGACCTCCATGGGAACCAGGCCATGATACACAGATACACACGCAGGCAAAATACCCATACACATAAAATAAAAATAAATTTTAAAAATGGTTGCATTATAAAAATTACCTCATTTACCAGGGGTGGGGGTAGAGGGGACCCTAGTTAGGAAAAAGCCTAAATCATTGATGAGCAACAGTATTGCATTCACCTGCATACACTTAAAAAGGCAGTGCTGAGCCCGTTCAGTTGGTAATGTGCTTGCTATACAAGCATGAGACCAACTGTAATTCAATTCCAGCACTTGTGGAAAAAACCAGATGTGATGATATACACTTACATCCAGTGCTAGGGGAACAGATGGGAGGATCCTTGGGGCTTGCTGACCTGCTGGCCTAGCCTGATTAGCAAGCCTAGGTCTGTCTGAGAGACCCTGTCTCAGAAACATAAGGCACACATCTGTACACACACCATACATGCACACAGAGTAAGAGTTGGGGGAAGGGTGACAAGAGTGTGTCTGTCTGCCTGATCCATAAGCTGTGTCTTCTTTCCTAAGATATTTCAGATGTTTTGTGTCTCTTTACCCAATCCTGGCTTTGGCTGTTAACATCACAGTCATAGCCTTTCATGGTGGGGACATCAGATGTGCAAGATAGTCCGCATTCTGACCACATTCTTCCTATACCTAGTAAGCTGCCCTGTCAGGTCTTCCATAAAGAAAAAGGAAGGCTAGGGAGACGAGACTGCCCAGTAGTTAAGAGTGCACACTGCTCTTGCAGAAGACCTCAGTCACCGTCTCTCTGGGGCAGCTCCCTGTGGCTGCAGGGCAACCCAGCACCCCTCTCCTCCTTGGGCACCTCTTATACATACACGCCCACTCAGGCTTTCATACGCACACATGAGTTCAGAAGAAGAAAAGAAGTCTTGGGGGGAAAGCATTGAATTAAAAGGAGCCAGTAAAAGGTTTTACTTTGAATTCTTTCTCCCTGGTCTGCCTTCCTATGGTTTTTTTTTTTTTTTTTACATTCTTGCTCAAGAATTTATTTCCCCGCCCCAACAAGGTTCTTCACAGTGAGAATTGTCCAGCTGTCACCAAGACATAACCCATGCTTACTTCAGACCACAACAGAACTGCCACAGAGTGCAGAGCCCACATTTTCTTTCTTTTTTGGTGTTTGTTTTTTCTTGCAGATATCTCTACAGGACCTTCTTGGTTAAATCAGGGACTACTTTTGAACTCTACCCAATCAGTTTCAAATTTAGACCTGACCACTAGTGCCACCGTACCCCAACCAAGGTATGTATTTCTTTCACGGTGGGAAAGGCTCGCCAGAGACCTAGCGCTGTTGCTGCTGCCGTGGGTTTTAGCAGATCCTCCCAGTGGTGGTGCCTTCCTGTTTTATTCCTGTCTGCAAAAAGAAATGTCTGCCCTTCACTAATGAACCTATATGTTTCTTAACTTACTCACTAGTGTAAACCAGGGGTTGTGCTTGGATGCTGAAGTGGCCTTAGCGACTGGGCAGTTTCCTGCCTCAGACAGTCACCAGTCCAGTAGTGCGGCCTCTCACTGCTCTGAGTCCCGCGGCGAGACCCCTTGTTCATTCAACGAGGAAGACGAGGAAGATGAGGAGGAAGACTCCTCCTCCCCAGAATAAAGACAGGAAAAAACTCATGTTTTAACCTGTGATGCTCATGTGTGTCTTTAGTGTGAGCTCTTGTGTTTTGAAATGATTGCTTCAGTCTTTGCCTTTGTTTGCATTTGTGTTTAGTGAAAACTAGAGAAACACAATAAGCAAATTACATGAAGGCTGAGATGATTGAAATGAAAGTTAATGTAGCGTGGAAGAAAACTGAGCCACAGAGCAGTAGGTTACATCGCCAACAAAGCATGCTCTCTGAAGAGACAGGAATAATCCATGAAGAATGGCAGTGAATGAGGTTTGTTTTCAGGGAGGTGGGGTTTGAAGACCCCACAGTGTGTCAGCATTTAGACTTGAGATTGCTGCAAGGAACGGTATGCAGTTTTCTCCCTTGTCGGGCTGCCTTTTACAGGCAAAAGTGATCCTGGAAATCCCCGTGAGTGTACAGTGAGGGATGTAGCTTGCAGGCTTGTGGCCTGAGGAGCACAGATGAACTGCTGAGCTAGCTGGAGGCCCAGCTGAGGTGCTTTGCACATCTGCTGCCTTAGCTTCTAGAAGGGAGCAAGCGCTACCTTATAAGTACCTAGGTGATATTTAGAATAATTTACAGTAAACTGAAGTGACCATTTGTCAATGCATTGGTGCATAGGAGTTTGTTTCTAGGGCTACTTCTGGAAGCCAAGATAGAATAGCATTTCCATGTGCATTAAAAACTGCCAGCACTGCCTTTTGCAAGCATTCTAAATTTGGACTTTTACTGAGAAGGAAACTGTATTTATAGTTTTAATCAAAGCTATGCATTTCATACAGCTTTTTAATTTACAGTTGAACAAAGAAGCAAATTCTTTGACCAAATTGCTTGTCTATAGCTGTCTGCAGTACTGTGTGATTTTACCCATGTGCAATTTGTGAGAATGAACCAAATGTCATTATTTTTGTCTTTATTTCAAGAATATGAACATCATTGTCCTCTTGTACATGTTATTTTTTCATATTTTAATTATCAAAATGACCTTATCAGATTTATTCCTGGGTAAATTGCATTTCAAACTAACTCAATATTCAGTGTTTTTGTTAAAACCTTGAACACTCCAGTTGACTGCATCTGTGCTAATGTGGTATGTCATTCGTGGATACAAAGCCAGAGTTGCCATGAGACTACTGCAGCATGTCTGTGATTTCTGCTCCTCTCAGTAGGGGAGCACAGGACATCCACTGCCAAGCCAAACCCAATGTAACTAACACATTACGGCCTTGAACAGGGGCAGAGAATGGAATCAGTTCTGAAGCCAGATCAAGTCACATGTGTTTGTCCTGGTTCTGTGTACCTGGCGTCTGTGGGCCCTACACCAAGCTCAGTCCAAAGTGCTGTTCTTCTTAGTCCTATAGGGGAAGCTTGAGCGGAAGCAGAAGCTTCGGTTGGCTTGAATGTTGTGAGGCCGTTAACAGTGATAAGTATGAATGTGCAGATACAGCTTAGGTTCCTTTGAGAGGAAACTCATTGTATCAGAAGGAAGCTGTAGTGCAAGCCCAAGTGTTCAAGGGGCACAAAGGTCCCGGCAGGTTGTCTTGGCATGAGCTCTAGAACACACTTCTTACCAGACTGTCAGAGAAAAGTGGTCCAGTATGCAACAGGAGCTACCTCCTGTTAGCGATGCATTTCTGTCTCTGTACTTAGGGGAGCCTAGCAGAGACCTGGAGAGGTCAAGGGCATCAGTTGCTTTTTAGTTTTCAAAATACTGACCTACTGGTCCTAAGATGTTTCAGAACTTAAAGCAAATGCACGCATTACACCCATTTCTTTTACCAGGCAACTAAATCCGTGCAAGAGTTCTCAAGGAACGTCTCCTTTTATCTCATCCCTGCTGCTGTGTGCTTTACACTGACAACAGCAGGGCTTGAAAGGGGCGGGCACACTGCACATGTTGTATGCCTCTGGTCCCAGCACACTTCCAAGTCAACCTTGGCTGCATACTGAGTTCAAGGCCAGCCTGGGCTTCATGGCATCCTTGTCTGAGGTGGGGCAAGCAGAGACTCAATCTTTGTGTGCCCCGCCCCTGACCATCCTAACTATCACTGTCATGCCCCGTTCCCCTGTGATACACTGCTGAGGACATCTAAGATTACTGTGGTCATCAGGTGCTGCTGGTGTAACCCTGAACCAAGAGGATTACTTGTAATCCTAGGCAGGCAAAGGACTCACCAGAGGTTTGGAACCAGCCATGGCTACAAAATGAGACCATGATGCAGTACAGAAAAAAGGAAGAGCCTAAATTGAGAAGTTACAAAGAATGAACTCTGGTCTTTATCTCCCTTAAACATCCATCTGGGTCCAGCAGCCCCAAATCATAGTGCAGGAATCAAAACGGAAGGGGATGTTAAATTGTGGTCATAGCATCTGGCTTCTTTGTAGGAGGGGTACACAGTGGTTGCCTCCCCCAAATCATAGTGCAGGAATCAAAACGGAAGGGGGTGTTAAATTGTGGTCACAGCATCTGGCTTCTTTGTAGGAGGGGTACACAGTGGTTGCCTCCCCCAAAGGTGCTGGGCACACTGCTTAATGTGTCAAAAGGCTTTCCCCTCTTAAGGTTGAGTTTCTCATTGTCAGTCTCACTCTCCTGATCACATGGGCAGCAGCTGGCTCTGGTTCTACACTGTGTGAAGAGCAGGTCCACAGGCTACGCAGCTGAGCAGCCGCCGGTGCTTAGGTGCCCTTTGCCTGTCCCCACTGGAAGTCTGTTCACTGTTTGCATTTATTGTGCCTTACACAGGAAGATAAGAACTCACTGGAATCCTCCTCCCTCTAAGAAGTCCCCCAGAAAACAGGCTGGTGGACACATGTTTGCATCTTTCTCAATTCTTTTAAAGACTAAATGAGGAACTCCTCCTGTTAGCAATATGTAATCAGAACAGTAGCAGTACTCAATCAGTAATTTTTGGAAGATAATTCCCAGTCTGTTCTCAGAATATCCCTATCAGACAATCCAGATGAAGAAATGGCCCACTGGTTCCTGCAGGCTTCCTCATTCTGCTCTTCCTATCTAAACCGACTGCTTGTCAAAAGTGTCAGAGCTGCTCCAAGTATAACATGATTTATGCCCTGAGACAGTCTGAACAGAGTGTGTGTGTGCACGTGTGTTGTGTGACAGACAGACAGACAGACAGACAGACAAACGGGCAGATGACAGGAATGGCCTCAGCTGCTTGTGCTATAACCACACACAGAACAAGAAGGCTGCTCAAGGTTATAAGCTAGCTCACTCCAACAAATGGGCTGTCCTTATTCACTAAGTCTGCTGCATAAGGCTTTGAAATTTTCTTCCTTAGTGGTAAGCATGGACAGGGTTTGTTCTGGGGGAGGGAATTAAAATACCAAACTCAGCTGCTTTACCTGTGTACAAGCCAAGTGAGGACTGTAGCAAGCCCACAGAGTTCTTGGCCTCATTGCCTTGAACTACCTCACAGGCCAGTGATCTGAGATGAAGAGTTCACATATGCTCTCTAAGTTGCTAATACATAGATGCAGCTTGTGATGAACACATGGAAGATTACCCCCATGCTGCATATGGGCTGGCTTCCGTGAAATACACTCTATAAACCTAAGAACCTGCCTCCCGGGGGGCTTCCTAGTTTTCTACACCTTGAACAATCAGTTCCTCTAAGCACTGATGGTTATTAATATATAGTTTTTTAGACTACTGTGCATGCCAGAAACCTATGGCAGTCACCCGAATGATCCACAGAACGTGCCTTCCAGCTCACTAATTCAGTTCACCTATGCTGTTAACCTATACTTGAGCCAAATACTATAACACTCAAAGCGGGGAGCCTAATATGATCAATCTTCCTAACAAGCCTCAGGAAGTAACCTCTTATATATACCCGAAGTTACAGTTAGTTTGTAGGATCGTTTTCCTACATCTGTGTTCACAATATGTTAGGGGGGGTAGGGCAGAAAATTTTGGCATGTCATGTTTCCCAGGAGTCCTTGACAGGTGCAAAGCCGATCTGATAGGTGGCCACCCCTCAGTGTAAAACTGCTTGTCTGACTTCTTTCAGATAAGGAAGATCTTAGGTTATTTTTACATGTTACATATTTTTTTTAAAAACTTTAGAACCAGTGCCTTGGCCCGTTGTCATCCTAGCAGAGTGGATCTTGGTCCTCTCTGCTTAAAAAGCTACTTTAGAAACCATCGTAGCCACAGTGGAAAGTCGGGGTTTGTGTCTTCTCTACTAGTGTCTGAGGAAGGGAGAGAGCATCTCTTAGGACCACTCAGTCAGAAATGGAAGTGTGCAGAGCTTGCGGCCAGCATCCCTTAGCCTCTTTTGCAGTCTGCTCCCGTTTGTCTCTTCCCTCGGAGCATCTTTGCCTACTGTAGAGCACACCTTCACCATGGGCCATCCAGACAGCACCAATCTTGACAAGTGCCAAAAAAACCCTGAGGAACTCAAGGGATCTCTTCCCCCAAGCCCAGTCATGCACTGCCAGCTTTGGCCTCTCAGGACTCCAGGTGCAGATGGTCACAGTCACAAGAGACCCTCCCCAGGCCAAGGCCATTTATTCTGGACACCCATAGGGGCTTAAGAGGTGGAGTTACCATCTGGACCATAGGGACTTGTTTCCAACCAATCTATTTGGACTTCAGAAGCTATTGATTTGCCATGCTTGACTTCAAACTCCTAAGTATGCTAGTTTTGCATATCCGGACTCCTGGTTTGGTTTGATTTTTCATACTTATCTCCAGTGCTCGAGCCACCTCTCTGAAAGCGGCTTCTCTGCAGGTTATGTTGCTTTTCCCACTAGTAGTAAGATGACACTGAGAAATGGGATCAGTCCTCCGCCTGCTGTGGTTGTCCAGGTCTGAGTTCCGGGGACCCCATCAGTGCTGTGAAGTGCCTGGGTACCCCATTTGCCCTGCTACACTTTACCTGGACAGAAGGGATGAGGTTGTTAGCCTAGATCACCAAGAGATTTTTGTTCCTAGATTGAGTACACAGGCTAATAAATTATTTTGTAGTATCTCAAACTTTGCATAAATATTATTTTTGTATGGAATTTTTTATAGAAGAGCTATTTCTGTATACTTATTTCTGTGTTTTTTGAAATGCCTTCCAGTAGGTAACCAACAAGTCTTAAACAGTGTCCCACTACGAGTGACTCAGGGTCCACCTACCCAGAAGAGACACAATTTAAATATTTTTTTCTGCTCCCTGCACCCACTCCAGATAGAAGCTCAGGGTGTACCTAGGAAGTATGTATGAGTCTTAATAAGCTTTGACTGATTTTTTCCCTCAATTCACACATCTTTGTTCATACTGTAAGAGTAAAAGAAGATAACATCTGAAATGAGTATGTTGAGCTTGAGAAAAATTGTATCATACTATTCTGTGATTTGAGATACAGAAAAATAAACAAGGAATTTAAAATAATGTTGTGGTCATCATTAATGGCTCCTGGGGAATGAATGCTGACCTCACAGTTAGGACTGAAACCCTCATTCAGCCAATGAGGAGACACAATGCCCACTCTCCTTTGTCCCCATTCTGGGTCTCTGAAGGGCTCCAGCATCAATTTTCTTGATGGGACTGGCAGAGGCTCCCCAGGATACCCACAGTGCATTGCACCTATATCACCTGGGAAGAGTTGTGTCAGGGTTAGAAAAACAGCAGCAAACAGAAGTGTGCCCAAGCCTCAAGCACAGTCCTTTGACCCCAGGGACCACCTCCGCATTTCTTGTAAGCAGTGCACACCTTTCAGGGGAGGCGATGGCCAGGCAATTTGTGTCCCAACTAGTTGTACACAGGGACAGGAGGTGGGGCGATTAAAGGATCATAGCATGCCAGCAGGTCTTAAACTGAGTGGGGCTGGAGATACCAGCTTAAAGGGCACAGGCTGGGCCAGTGGTGCACGTTTAATCCCAGCTTTTGGGAGGCAAAGGCAGGCAGATCTGTGAGCTTCAGGCTAGCCTGATCTACAGAGAGTTCCGGGACAGCCAGGGCTACACAGAAACCCTGTCTGAAAACAAAAACAAGAAAAATCACTGCTCTTCCAAAGGCCTGATTCCCATCACCCAGATGTCAGCTCACTACTGTCTAACTCCAGCCCTAGGAGATCTGACACTCTTCTGGCCTTTGGGAGTAGAAGGCATTCATGTGGCATAGACATACTTGCAGGCAAAACACTCATATAATTGCAGAAGTGAAGGTTAGTTTGTGTCCAGCTTTTAGTGTTGATTAGGCCAAGTGAGGAGAGGAGCACCTGTGCTCACCCTTTCTGTGGACTCCCTGCAGGACTAGCCCAGTGCCTGCTCCATCTGCTAACAGCCATTTAGTGCCACTTGGCTAACGTATCCAAGGGCTTGTAGCCATGACCACTGAGTCACACCAGGAGGGGGACTGGTGGCCATCACTTGCCATTGGACATGATGTTGACAGGCAAGATGTCTGACTGCAGTGCCCAGCTTTTGATTCAAGCCCCGCTGCCGCAGCTGTTGTCTCTGCTGCTGCTCCCAGGGCCGTTTGTTTAAGCCAGCTGCCACCATGTTTCTCCTGTGTCCTTCCATTCAGGTGCCTCTCCCCAAACCTGCAGGAAATCACCTGGCCCTCACCCAGCTACAGAAGATGGCCCAATGCAATCCAAGTACTGTCACTAGCTTAGCCGATGTTCGGAAGATCCTTTCCAGCCTCATGCTTTAGCCTGCTTCCAGGAAACACTGGAGCAGTGGTTCTCAGCCTTCCTAATGCTGCAAGCCCTTAATACAGTCAGTTCCTCATGTTGTGATGACTCCCAGTCATAAAATTAATTTTGTTGTTACTTCATAACCATGATTTTGCTAATGTTATGAATTGCAATGTAATATCTGATATGGAGATGGTCGAGCCCCATGGGTTGAGAACCATTGCATTGGAGTAGAAAATGCACTGTGAAGGAAGTCTTGTAGTTAGGGTGGGGGAACCATGCCCATTCAGTTTAAGAGTGACAGCTATGAAAAGATGCACATCATGAGATCACATTGCCTAGAAGGTGGTCAGTATCTACCCACCCTCCTTCAGCCCAAGTAGGGAGGCGAGGAGACGCTCACCGGCAGCTTTTCATTATGGCTCTTTTCCTTAGGGCTGTTCAGACTTTGGCAGCAGAGCCCACAAGGTGAGCAGCTGAAAAGTTCAGTGTTCTGGTGCCATCCTACCCAAGTTGCAAATGGAGACACTTAGAGTGGGGTGTGTCTTCAGAGAGTTATGCCACGGGACCCCTCAAGCTCCAGGGCTTCTGAGTACTTCTGTAAATCCTCACTGGAGGATCACTAGCTGTTGCCTCCCTGCTGGGCTGGTGCCAAGGAACTTGTCTATGCATTGATTGTGCAGGCAGAAGACAATGCTGCCCGAAAAATATGCTTGCCTAGACAAGAGGGTTCCCCTATTTCCTTCTTAGTCTGAATCTTTCCTGAAAGGGTTCTCACAGGTGGGAGGGCAAAAGTACAAAGGGATCAGGGCTGGGCTTTGGCCAAGGGGGCAGGTGGCTGCTGGGACAGCTGTAGCACTCCTAGTCATCGAGGCCAAAGAGACAAGGAGCAGATGGGAAAGCTTCCGGGGTAAGTGCTGTAGATAGAATGAATGCAGGAGAAGTCACGGTGATGTGCCAGACTATTGGCCGTGCAGGCTTTGTGGGCAGCGGCTCACCAGTTGGAAGCCAGCTCTGCTGTGAATTAGGTCCTGAGGGAAGGCTGGTGCTTAGGTCAAGAGGAAGACTCCAGCGCTGACAGCTCTTACTGGGAGCAGTCTCCTCTCTGTCTCATTTACAAGACTCAACAGATACCTACCGGTGCTGTGAGTTCCAGCCTGTGAAAGCACTGTTGCTTAAACTGGTGGATTAGCGAAAGAGTCCATTAATCTAGCAGAAGACCTGAGCTTAGCTACCATTCAGTGTCTCTTTAAACCTGCTGTTTATGTGTGACCCGAACCCCATCCATAACCCTGCTTTTCAACTAGACATGGTGGTTCCTGAACACCCGCAGTTCTCGAAGTGGAGAGGCTGAGGATGCAACACGAGGACTTCAAGTTTAAGGCCACCTCAGACAAGTTCCAGGTCATGCTGGCAAAAAGTTGAGTCCCTGCTCTACCCCTGCCCAGCTCATTTTTTTCTAGTTTGTCACATTTTATGGCAGTGTAAGATACTTGCTTTCTTGGCAACCTGTGTGTGTGTGTGTTCCTCTGTGTGTAGGTCAAGAGGGATGCTAGGCTAGTAGCCTACCACAGAATCCCGACACTGTGCGGTATGTGTGTGGTGAATAATAAAAACCCAGAGACAGATATCGGGGTTAAAGCTGAAGATCAGAGAAGCAAAGCAGCCGGCCACTAGAGAGTTCTCACCTCTACCAATGCTCAGACCAAAGGGTGATCCTGTCCTCAGCCTGCACTGCTCTCCACCAAACTTCAGACTGTATCTGACTGCACTGCTCCTCAGACTCCCCTGAGCTCCTGTCTTCTCCCACCTTATATTCCTATCTAGTGCTGGCATTAAAGGCATGGGATCCCGAGTGCTGAGATCACCTTTGTGTGAGCTCTGTTTCTCTTTTAGACTGGATCAACTTTGTGTAGCTCAGTGTGCGCTTGAACTCACAGAGATCTGACTGCCTCTGTCTTCTGAGTGCTGGGATTAGAAGTGTGTGCCACCACTGCCTGGCCTCTACGACTGTGGCTAGCTTTGCACTCTTATCTTCAGGCAAGCTTTGTTAGATCATAAGCAAAATATCGTGTGTGTGTGTGTGTGTTATCTACGTATGTGTGCAGGTATGATTGTGCATGTGGAGACCAAATGTTGATGGTGTTGGTGTCATCTCCTATTACTGGTCACTTTTTTTAAAGACTGTTTTTATGTGTGGGTATATGTATGTGCATGTATGTGCAGGTGTGCCAATGGAAACCACGAGAGCATGTTATTGCCTGAGGCTGTAGTTAGCAGGTGGTTGTGAGTGGTGCTCCTGATGGGGGTGCTCTTCCTACCTCTGAGCCTCCCCAAGAACAGCAAATGCTTTTAACAGCTGAGCTTTCTTTCTAGCCCTTGTGTGCGTGCGCGTGCGTGTGCGCATGCGTGCACATTCACACATTTGAGGGTAGTTTCTTGGAGTCAGTTTTCTTTTTGCTTTCACACGGTACTGAGCTTGAACTCAGGCCCTTGAGCTCGAAGTGGTAGGTGCCTTTCCACCTGCGGAGCCGGCTTAACTCTCAACCTTCATTTTTGAGTGGTTAGCAAGTAGTAGGGATGCCCGTCTGTCTCCATTTCCTCTTGTCCCACCCCGGGGTAACAGACACAGGCCACACCGGTCTGGCCTTTTTTTTCCCCTTTAAAAAATATATTAATAGAGCTGGGCGTTGGTGGCGCACGCCTTTAATCCCAGCACTCGGGAGGCAGAGGCAGGTGGATCTCTGTGAGTTCGAGGCCAGGCTGGACTACAAAAGCTAGTTCCATGACAACCTCCAAAGCCACAGAGAAACCCTGTATTGAAAACTAAATGTATGTATGTATATATAACATTGTGTGTATAACATTGCGTTTTGCTTGTGTGTATGTGTACTGACTCGCACACATTTAAGTGGGAAAAGGAAGCGACATCCCCTGGAACCGTAGTTTGGGATGGTTGTGAGTCATGCAGATGTTGGAAATCAAATTTGGGCCCTCTGCAAGAGCAGCAAGTGTCTTAGCCACTGAGCCATCTTTCCAGCCCCTCGTTGAGCATTCATGTGGTGCTGGGCGTCCTAACTCAGGTTCTCAGTTTGTGCAGCAAACGCTTTATCCAATGAGCCATCTCCCCAGCCCCAAAATTTGAAAAAGAAGTAACGCTCTCAGTAGAGGAAAAGTGGACATGGGTTTTGCTGGAGTCCTCTCTGTGCCGTATCACCTTGTGGTGGTTGGAGGTTTCTGAAGAGCTAGACTCTGTCTAGAGGACCTGGAAGAAGGAAAGATCATGGCAGCTTGCCAACCAGACTCAAGCCAGTACTTACCATGCTCAGTCATTTTTTAGCTTACCCAGGGTGAGGGAAGCAGACAAGATCTTCATTTTGGGGGCATTAAATGTCCAGATGGAGAAAAGAATATAAAGCTGTAAGTGTGGCATTTGCCTGGCTTAGACTAGCAATAAAATGAGCTGATCCAGGAGAGGAATCGAGGCCCTGGGCAGGAGAGGCGCGGCTCTCCTGTCTGAGCTTCCTGCCCAGAACTCATTGCTTCCCTAGCTTCCTGGGTTCCTTTGCACACTGCCCCCTTCCTCCTCCCGCCAGGATAGTGACATTTGGAGCCACAAAGACCCTCAAAAAGGGGCACCTGTCCATGTATGTGTCTGATACTAAACAAGCACTTCATCGTAACCCATGTCCCCTCCAGTACCAGTCAGTTCCAACCGGAAGCCACTGTCATCCTCCATACCGGAGTACCT